AAAGTGTTGTCAAACCACTATGATATGTGAGAGAATATTCTGAACCATTGAGCATAGTAACAAGAGATCATAATGATCAGATAATTAATTATATAGTGAAATAGTTCAACATGAATTAATAGCAATTAAGAATCACATGAGTTGAGATCAGTCTGTTAAAAATCAAGTTATGAATAATAAAGAATTGATTTAATTAAAATAAGAAGGAGAAAAGATTTGCAAGAATGATGTAATAAACTGATGATAAAGTCATCATGGTATCGAAAGATTTACAACTATTTCCTTTTGGATACTTAATTCCGGCTTGAGACGTTTGATGGCTATAGCTTCAGCGAATTTGAGAAGAATGGAACTTTATTATCGATTGATAATGCTGAAAGATTTCAGTTTATCTGCCTAATGTCCTAAGTCACAGAGATGCTTTGCCCGTAATCCCATTGACCTGAAACATTTGGAATATGTCCATAGAATTGAACATAGGTCGCTCTTTATGTTTTACTAATGTTATTGCTTTGACAGGTGCATGTAAACTTATATATTCGCAGTTGGCGGTAACACGAAACGGGGTACATATCGACTTATGATTTGAGTAAAGAACGTAATATTTTGTTCTGGATAATCAGCTTAATTGCCAGTTATTTTCTGGTCAGTGTGGTAATACATCTTTTTATTGTTTTAACATCATCATTGAATTCAGTTTGACGGGAAGTAGGTTTCATGACTGATGTGGTTTATTTAGGCATTTTATCTTTACAATTTTGCACCCTGGTTGATGATTTAGGTGATGTGACACCTGGATAGTGACTTTCAGACAATTATTGACCGAAAGTGGTCAGAGCTTGTTGAAATTAGTCTCACTCATTTAACTTATCAGTAGGGCTTTTATTGACTATCCCTTGATCACTTCACCAACTTAATTTCAAAAGAAGTGTATGCTCTACAAATTGCCAATGTAATGCAGTTTTCAAATATTTTTCACGTGTGAATGAGTTGCGCTTTTCTAATTTATTCCAGAAAGCTCTAGGATCTTTGCTTCTGACTGAATATAAATGCTCCTCAGTAATCCGCAGGTATTCGTAATAGTCCAAAGATTCCGTGCATTGTCAAGTTTCATGGGAAAATGATCAGGTTTATTTAGCTTCCTTACTGTATTAGGGGCTTGAAGTTTTTTTGTTCATTTTGAAACTCTGTTTCAGACTAACATTTCGCGAAAACAGAGAATAATATCTTCAAAAAAGGTCTAGATATTGTTTGAATTGATTGTTATTTTGATGACTTTTATTTAGAACCGATTATATTTATGGAGACTAAGACAAAATCTTCACTATCCAGATGTGTTCTATAACACTTCAACCTTTCTGGTTACCTTATGCTATTGAATAGATGGTCGTATATGAACGAGGCCCTTGTATCAACCAATAATATTTCCTTTTGGTCTTAATGAAAATGAAGTTCAATCAGGAAAGTTACCTGTAAGTCCAGTTATCCCAAGTGAATAGAGATCGCAAATTACAGTATTTGATGTACAATGAATAGAAACAGCCATCAAAACTTTCTTGAAGATCTCAAAAGGCTGAAAATTCTCTAAATAACTTAAGCTGTGTTATCCTAGTATGAATTTATCTTTGGCATATTTCATAACACTATTTAAAAAGTAAAGTTTAACTACTCATAAGTAGTTTAGACAAAAGCACAAAATATCTATAGGTGAGAAATATTGTTGCCATCATAAGTAAGGATATTATTGTTTGAAAAGCAACATATTTGATAAGTACATGGTGAATACGCGAATATCTTATATAATCATATGGATTCGTACACCACAAAGTGTCAGTGATCAATTATACGTGATATTTTCATTTTAAAGCTCATTTTTAAATCCGATCATAAGTATTAGGTGTTATTAATAATTAGAATAGGGAAATGTGAGAGATGAAGGAAAAAATTGCAGTCTTCAGTTAAGGGAAAGCATGAAGTCACAAAAGTTACCGTCTAAAAGCTCCAGTACTTATTTTATGTACACCAATATTTAGGCAAACGACAAAACATTTTTCATCTTTTCAAATCTTACAGTATATCCGATATCATACAAGACTACTATTCTTTATCTCTCGGAGCACTAAACAGCAAATTGATCTGGCAAACTCTACGAACGTAACTAAACCAGAACATTAAGAATCTTTAAAATCAACATCTTGGAGATTACGTACTCCAGATTGCAGAAGAGTTGCACACTCGTAGATTGAGAGCTAGACACATTATACTGCTGTTGTCTTTTATTTCTTAGTTCTGGTTCATTCATATGCTGACAATGTTAAAAATATATTTACTAGCAATATGTATCCTCTTATATCTATGTGGTTCTGACGATCGGAATCGACATAAATTTCTCATAACTTTTTAAAAGCACTGTACACTTTGATGATAAGTAGCACCCTGATCAACAACCAAGATGATAATGTTTCTACAGTATTTGCATTATTACACAGTAATAATAAATTGCTTTGATTACTCTAAGTCGAAATATTTTTGGATATTTTCGAAATCGAGCAACAATCAAATCGTTCACTTAAATATTCAATTCAGCTACTTTTGCTAACATTCATATAGAAAATCGCACTTGTTTTCTGATCTATTTCTGAAGTAGCATTACGTGATAGTACAAGTTACTAACACATCTAGGTTACAAAAATATCACCCAGCAAGTTTGTTTCAAAAGAGTTTAAATTTTGAAATAAATTGTTCATAAGAGGTTTAATTCTGAATGAGAAGAGATAGTTTACAGATATGAATAAAAAATAGTTATTACCACCCATTTTGCTTTATATATAAAATGTAGATTATTACCTACCAAAACGTCTGTTCGCGTGAATTTACACTAAAAATATTGCTTTCAATTTTCGCTGAAACTCCTTATGAATGACCTTCAATAAAGTTGAAATTTCAGGAACTATTCCTCTTATTATATATATACAAGTGAATGGAACAACATTGTTAAAGAGTTGGTCTTTAAACTATTTCAGTCATTTAACAAATGATATGTACCACTACTTTGAAGAAATGTTTAGCATCAGCTCCGCACACATCTTAACAGACAGAAGATATGAAGCGATCATAAGTCTGTCACTTGGAGTATGCTTTACCCAACATTTTCAGACTATAGTCAACATGCACAGTAGTTTTCAGTAACCATAGGAATATGGTATTAATTGAGATACGTCGATGGCAAAACTATTTATTAATTTTGACTATGAATATTCCATCATCAAACTTAAATTGCTCCATATCCATAATATTCAATTATACGTTCCTGATTTCGTTATAAAAATAAATCATGATTGTAGTCAGCGAAATACGAAAAATTCGTCAATTGAACATTGCTTCAAATACATGATTTAGTCAAGATGCTTCTTAGTAGAGTAATAAACTTATCCTCAGTAGATTAACTGAAGTAAACTTATTATAACGATAGCCTTTATAGAAAATAAGTGTAGCAAGATGTTGAACGTCTGATACAGAGAAAAATTGACTTAGTTGATGTCGAATAGACTATTAAAGCACAGCATAAGTTTTGGCCATTGAATGAGTTTAAGAATTTACAAGTACATGTGATAACTAGTATACAAAACTATGAGACTAACCTCAGTTGTGTTTTCTTGGATTATACACTCAAAACTATGTGCCAAACCAAAAACAAGAAGCACGATGCTATTCATTTACATTATTTATTATGAAGAATATTTCCGTTTTTAATTTATTCAAAATAAGTAAAACGTACACAAGTTAGTGAAACTAATTATCTTCAGAGATACTTGACTATCTTATATTTAACTAGCGTTCAGTATATGGAAAACAGTTGTATTCAATGTGATTCTATACATATCAGCTAACAAAAACTAAACTAAACTTAAAAACACCTTTACTTGGTATGCCATTATTTTATTAGAATGGAAATATTTCTTATTCTTTCATCTTTTTTGTTGTTGTTGTTGTTGAAACAAATGATCTTACGTTTCAGCTAATCAGTAACTTTTATAAGAGAAGAAATCAAAATACCTGAATTAATTGGGGTATATTCAAATAAAACATCCGATGATTATTTTCTCTTTTATACTCATCAACTTCAACTTGAATACTGATATATTATCAATGTATTTCACAATGTGATTACATAGAACAATAATGTTGCTAATTAGCTGTTTAGCTGAAGTATGTGAAATACAATCATTCCATTGCATCAAGTAATGTTATCAATGAAAAACTCAAAGATTTTCTCGTTTCACAAACATAAAGTTTGAATTTACAAGTAGAAATTCAGGATTGAAGAGAATCGTCGTATAATCGCTTAGCCGATAGTACAAGACTAGTAGTAAGAAGGTGGATTGTTTCTATCTTGCTAGGGACCCAGCACTTAATTTTTTAACCATTGAAATGATATGATCTGACTAAAATACTGGTGATCAAAAACCATTTATACTTTCCTGTTAGATTAATGAAAGCCTTATAAAATCTTGCATTTTAGACTGTAGACTGATTATCTTGACCTGACAAAAAATCGACTCATGAATTCAACTATAAAATTGCTAAATTCCCCACAAAACTCCTTTTGATAATAATCATCGTACGCTCACTAGTGACTGGCTTCAAGAGGTATTTCCTGGAGTTCTAGTGGGAAGCAGTGACCACTGGAGTTCAACCGGGTCTGTTGTGAGACATTAACTTAATGAAGACATTATCACCGTTGTATGCCGGCTCAGTGGTCTAGAGTTTAAGCGTTCGCGTGCAAGACTGAGAGGTGCTGGGTTCGAACCTCGCGGGGAGGTATCGTGGGTGCACACTGCTGAGAAGTCTCATACTAGGATGAAACGGCCGCCTAGTGCTTCCAGGTGTTCCTTGGTGGTCTTGCTTTAGTTGACTCATGAATTCAACTAAAGTATGGATCAAGCTTTTTAAAATTCGATTATCTTACACAACTGAAAAGAACTATGAAAATCTATTTTGCAACAGAAGTAAATGTTTATTAATTATGATGAAAATAATTCAGTTTATTAAATGATCTGAAACAAATTAGTGGCAGATAAACATTGACAATGAAAACAACATTAATAATAATAGTAATCGATATAATGGTAAGTATAGTGACAAAGGCACAATTATGATTAGGTATAATGATATTTTTTATCTTTTTTTATAAACTTCAATATACTTTTCTTGTAATTGATATTCATTGAAGGAGTAGTAGTAGTAGTAGTAGAAGAAGAAGAACAAGAAGAAGAAGAAGAATACAGAACAAAAGTAGCTGAAATGTCAATACCTCTTGATTGATAGAAAGGCATAGAATGATATAAACAATACAAACAAACTAAAACTGAATGTGTTTACCTATCTATATATATATATGTTGTACATAAACTATGAAAGACAATGAATATGAAAGTTATGCAAATGAATTCTTATGATTGTGCCATTGATTTTATTTATATTATGTTTTAGATCTATCTCTATGTATGATTAATAGGTTTTTGTTTGTTTGAATTAAAGAAAAAAAGAAAGAAGATGGTATATCACTGTTGAAAGCCAATAACGAATTTACTTATTCGAGTATTCTGTTTTTAACCCTAACACAGTATGGATGATAGATCATATAAAGTGTTTTAATACATGCATAGTATATTGAAGTTGAGAATAAGGCATTCATAAATATGGACAATGGATAAGTGTGAGAAAAATAAACAAACTGTATGATGAAAATTATGTTTTATGCAGTTACATAGTTAGTAATAACAGTGGTAATAATAATGATAGTAGTAACACGAATCAGCCTATAACTCTTTTTATTTCACAAGTAGCCATAGTGTATAAAAAATAGTTGCATAAAATAAGTTTATACCTTTCAAATAGTAGCAAAATTAAGTCAGTCAATGAGATAAAAATGTCTAGATATATATGTATCTATATATATGTATATGAATCTTTATTTTTCAAACTAAAGTTGGTTTACATTCCAGAGGGTATGATAATATTCGATAAATTCAAGGTCATCACTTCCGGGATTGTTTGAAGGTATTGTATTTATACAATTATATGTATTATCTGGTATATGTGTTCACAAAAATGTGAAATAATAATATGTAACTCAAAGAATCTCTTCGTCTTCATGTGTATATGATGCAATTCAGTATAATACTGTGAATGTTGTAATGATATGTGTATATCTTTATGTGAGATTGTGCATGGGCTTATACATATATATGCATACACATATATTTGAATAATTTAAACAAGTCGATAATTCAGTTAGAATAAACCTGAATACTTTTTCATTTCTGCCTGTTTCCATATTGGTAATTTATTGAAATCTTCTCTAGACATTGAAAATATTTCCTGTAATTGAAAATCAAAAGTTTAAAGAAAAAATTAAATCATAAAACTCCTGGATTTGTTAGTTAGATCAGTATTTCATAGTTATCCCTTGATCGTTATGTAACATTATATCGATTGTTTAAATAATGTCAGTTTATTGATAATTATTCATATTGTTTACTTTGTTTTGTAAAACTATGTCTATCAACAGTACAGGGTTGTGGAGATGATTGAGTTTTAATTAAGGTCATAAATTGACCAATGTTAGACCACTAGTGAAAAACCTGAAGAACCAGGCGGATGATTCATCCTAGTTTAGTACTCCACAGCAGTGCATATCCACGATCCCGTACGCAGGACTCGATCCCGGGACTTCCGGTCTCGTACACAAACCCGTCGTAACTAGTGAACGTCAACCATGTCGAGTGAGAGGCAGTTACCCACCGAAGCTAATGAAAGATAGTCCCTAAATGTCGTGGATTGGTTAAAGTTAAACGTTCACATCGTTGAACGTCGGGTCAGTAGTCCAGAACTTAAGCATTGCTGTGCAGGACTGTGTATGTACACTGCTAAGGAGTCCTATCCTGGGATGAAACAGCTGCCAACTTCTCCCAGGTTATCACTGATGGTCTAAAATTGATTGGCTAATAATCTCAATGTAAAATAATTTGTACATTGTTATATGGGAATTCATTTTTTGTTATCAAATTGTTGGATTATCACAGTTTTTAACAAATAAACTAGTAATACAATTCGGTATAAAGTTTTAGCCTGGTATTAGACTAAATAAAATCAAACTAACAATTTATTATGATATTATTCTTCATTGATGAGAACTTAATCATCGACTATGATGATATATAGAGTTGCAATAAATTCGAATTCATTTTATAGGAAATGATATTTGTAAACATCTACGTAATTGAAATTCAAAACCATTAGCTTGGAGATGCACAAAGCAGACTGTTAAAAGTTATGTTGGATTTATTTTCAATTTCGATTACTGAGATTATTATAAGTATAAATAAAAAGAATATTGAATTGAAATTCAAGGGTTAAAATATAGCCCAATCATTGTCAGTATTCAGTTGTATTTCATAATGATAAATGTTTGTTTTCCGATGAAGGCGGTTTTATGCCGCTCAGTTTATTCATTTGATATTTATGTATAATGAAATAGAATTTGAATTTAATAGATTACATCTAACCATCTAAGTGAAATATTCAGTAAGTCACTGGTATATAAGGAATTATTCTGGTAAAAGCTCAGTTTTCTTGTCATTTCTTTTTTCCGCTGAAGGGATGAACAGAATTAGGCAAAGGGAAAAACGTTCACACAATTGTCTACTTAATGTAAACAATATATACTTATATATATGATTATGAAGTATTATACTTACACAGTACTTCACCATGATGGGCTGCACTGAATGAAGGTACAAAACACACCTACAAGAATACACTAGATAAATATTGTCCTTCACATTCAAGCCATTACTATACCTTATTATTTAAATTCTCGAAGAGACATTTCAGTGTCTATTACATACAATTCTACACATATAAACAGTAAGAAGTGTTTTGAAAAGATCTTTCATTCAGTTTTTCTTGTAATTATCAACTCACCGAGTAGTCTTTGTCCGAAGTTTTTGATTACAAATGTATTACTCTCATTTATTATTATACTTGAGTTTTATACAGAGGGATAGCTCATAGAATGGATCAGAAAGATTAGTAAAAATTCTACGTTCGTTAAACTCTTTTACAACACTTAACAAAATAATTTGTTGAATCAATCAAGAAGGAAAAAAACTACAAATGAGTATTTGTATAGCTTACTTCGAAGGTTTTATCATCTAAATACGTTTCTAAACAGGTTGCATCCAATTCAGGCGGGAGAGGACGTTGTTGAAGATCACTCAATGTATATGAAGCCAAGGTATATGATGATAGCAAACTGTCAATTAAATCTTTTTGACCATCAGTTTTACCATCCTGAATAATATGTGAAAAATAGATTGAAATATATGAAGAGAATAGAAAATAAACTAATTAAATAGTTAGTATACTTATCTGTTGACAAAATCTTGGTGATAACAGAAATGATAATATGCAATGAATTACTTTTTTTAAAAACTCGTTTCATATTCAAACAACTTAACCTATCAGTTATAATACTAAGGTAAAGATTTTAATAAACTCATCAATTCAACCCATTTGTGACTGTGGAACTGTGTATTTTATAAATTGCCTTTTGGTTACTTATGGATAATATGAAATATCTTATATTTACTTACTCTTGTCACTCCACACGGAGGAGCATAGGCCGCCCACCAGCACTCTCAATCCAACCCTTTCCTGGGCAATTCTTTCTAGCTCTTTCCAGTTGTTATTCAACCCTTTCATATCTGATTCTATTTCCTGACGTAATGTGTTCTTTGGCCTCTCTCATTTCTGCTTCCCTTCTGGATTCCATGTTAGCGCCTGTCTCGTGATACAGTTCGATGATTTGCGTAATGTATGTCCTATCCATCTCCATCGTCTGTCCATAATTTCCTTTTCAGCTGGAAGCTGGTTTGTTCTCTCCCACAGAAGGCTCTTGCCGATAGTATCCGGCCAATGGATGTTGAGTATCTTACGTAGACAACTGTTTATAAATAGTTGCACTTTATTGATGATGATTATGACAGTTGTTCACGTTTCAGCTCCATACAGTAGAAGTGTGTTGACTTTCGTATTGAAGATTCTCACTTTGATATTGGTTGACAGTTGTTTTGACTTCCACATGTTCTTCAATTATGGGAGTACGACCCTTGCTCTGCCAGTCCTTGCCTTCACGTCTGCATCTGATCCTCCTTGTTCATCGATGACGCTTCCCAAACACGTGAATGATTCTACACCTCCAAGAGTTTCTCAATCAAGTGTGGTTGGATTGCTGTTCTCCATGTTGTATTTGAGGACCTTGGTTTTCCCCTTGTGTATGTTGAGACCTACTGATGCAGAGACTGCTGCCACGCGAGTTGTCTTCATCTGCATTTGTTTGTGTGTATGTGATAGGAGGGCTAGGACATTTGCGAAGTTCAAATCGTCTGATTGGTTCTGATCTGTCCATTGTATGCCGTGTTTTCCCTCAGATATCGAGGTCTTCATAACCCAGTCGACCGCTAGAAGAAAGAAGAAGCGGGAGAGTAGACAATCTTGTCTGACTCCGGTCCATACTTGGAATGCATCTGTCAGCTGTCCACCATGTACGACAAATATCTTATAGCTATGATATTTTTAATATTGTTTCATCAATAATATGAATCTTTATATTCACGCTAAGATAAATGTTCATTAAAGAATAAACTCGAAATCTGTATAAAGCACTCATTGATATGATAATAACAGTCTAATTCACTTTTAATTTCTTTCAGAAACGATTAAATTTCCTATCTAAAAATTGACATAAATTTGTCGAAGATTATTTTATACTTATCATATCTACTATATAAAGAAAAGTTTATTACATAATTTAGAAATATCCTATATGAATAAAAACAAGTGAATTTATTCTAATTCAACGTGATATCATATCAAAATTGTCTATGATTCTTATTTACTTTACATGTCTTTAAATATTAGAGGAATGAATTTTGGGTGAGACTATAGTTTATCGACAACCTTTGAGCGGCGCTAAAGTGACTTTGAGAGTGTTCACCTAATAACTAGGACCAAATGAGGGTTATAAGCCAGTGTGAGGAATTAGAATTATGGTTTACAGTTGATGATTAGGGTTAGGAATTAGATTTAGAGTTTTCATCACGAACTGACATCAACTATAATGCCAAAACTATATTTAGCCAAATGGATGGGTGAATTTCGCGCAAAGATACGAGACCTGTTATCTTATACCTGATTGATTCGTCCATAAATTATAGTTTCTCCGAATTTTGTTGAGTAGAAAAAAATTCTGAGAGTTAAATTCAATTATTTGTAATTTCAATGGTTGAAGTCATGAGTCAATTGAAGCTACACCACCATGGAAAACCTGGAAGCACTGGACGGTCGTTTCGTCCTATTGTGGGACTCCTCAGCAGTACGCATCCATGATCCCGCCTCGCGAGATTCGAACCCAGGACCTATCAGTTCAGGTTTTCCATGGTGGTCTAACTTCATTGGACTTATGATCTCAACCACTGAAATTACAATAGTAGCCACAAAAATCCTTTTGATATTAATCAATTATTTGTATCAATGATATTTAAAAAAAAATTGCCCAGGAAATAAATTGGCTGATACTTAAATTTTAAATCGAGTAAAATACCACTTAAATATAATGATAAATCAGTGAATAGCTCAGATATACGGATATAAAAACGTTTTGTCGTGTAATAATGAAGAATAACTAATAAGATACAATCTTTTAATTTAAGTGACACAGTACACTGATTCATAGCTTTAGATCTTAGAACATCTTTTACTGGTGGTAGAAAATCTTGGTTATGAACTTTATCGCTGTTATCATTTATCAGAAGATCCATAAAGAAAAAGAACAAGAAGTGAACATATTGTTCATAAACCTTTATTTTAACATCTACATATAATTTCTACGATATTTCACCTAATCCATACATTTCTATTGATTGCTTAGAAAGTAGTGGAAAAACATACAGATGCTTCAGCTGTATAAACTGCAAGTTTTCTACTACTTCTAATCTATTGATTAGATTGAAAGAACATTCTATTTGAAATTAAACATACTTAGTCCTCTTACTTAGTGAACGGGAAATTAATGTGATAATAATTTCGGTAAATATAAGATGTGTTCGTTTTAAAGTCCGCTTAATCTCTATGGGTAAGGGCTGTGTGTTATAAAAAAACTATTTTGTTTTTCAAGGAATTTTGATTGGTAACTACCATCCACTGAGGTTTCATTGAAAAATATGAAACGATGAACAATTAATAGAATTCAGTTCAACTCTGTTCTTCGAGGTTTTTAGGATCATGTAATTATCGAACATATTTTAATACAAAATTACAGAACGTCTTTGTAAAATCTGAGAACCATACAGAAAATACTCCATTTGCAATGTCAATCAGTTGTCTCAAACTTGACTGTTCCTTTGCAAATATCAGTCAGTCATCCAAGACCTCATTGTTCTTTCGTTTCCACACGAATCATTCTTTGTTCTCGTTCTCTTTTTTCTGATATTCCTAACCTTCTGTCGCCAGACATTTCACTTTCGACTGATGATACATACTACTTATATCCCTCGACATCAATAGCACACACCACAACAACAGTTAGTTATTAACTTCCATGTAACTAGACTTTACAGATATATAAGTACAAGCGTCTCTAAAGATCGGTTAAACTATACCCTATAATATCACAGTTAAAACATTTAGACTATCAGTTTCAAAATGAGAGGCTACTTTTTGCTATTAGCAATAATTAGCTTAACCAAATATACATCAGCTGCAACATACAAAGCACTTTCCTCTTTTTTGTTTTTTTGTAAGGTAATATTTAATATTCTCATCGGATAATCATTGTTTATATTAAAACAATGTACCGTGGGTGGCCTATGCTCCTCCACGAGGAGTAACAAGCATAAGTAGGAAGAATTAACGCAATTCCACACATGTATTGAAAATTTTTTTTCACTAAAATACTCTGATATCCGTTAACTAGGGTGAATGAAAGATACCCGAACCAATAAAATGAAATACAATGAAAATAAAGGCAATCACAAAATGGGCGTAATAAAACAATACTACTTTGATGAAACTAAGCAAAAAGTAAGTAATGACTTTGTTGTTAATGTTAGTTGCATAAATTACAAACCATGCTCAAAATGATTTAAGCTTATATAATTTTTTTGTATTGAGTTTTGTATACAAATGAACATTTGTATATCAAAGTTTCAACATTTATCTTGTTTTTATGAAGACAATATCTATTAATGCAAAACGCAGATATTGGGATTTAATATTCGAGAAATATGATATGAAATTTATAAGATCATTTGTTTAATAATTAGATTTTGCTTTTCATACTGGCGAAATTTGATGCTTGAAGTTTTAACTTCATTGAAATGGTATTTAAATGAATGAGAAAAAGTTTAACATTAAACCCCAAAAGTCTTTTCCTTGACTTAAATCAGTGAAAAAAAGTGATTAATATACTTTGGTTAGATGTTTTAAAATCCATTAGCTCTTTCTGATTTAACAGACAGATTAAGGGATAAACAGGTATCCAAGAATACGGATGAATTTTCAACATTAATCGTTACAGAGTGTGGATTAATGTCATATTGTCTAACTTTTAGTGCTGTCTTCTACTAATCCAGTAGCAGTGTGACCACTTATACCATGACTCTACGTCTAGAGGTATACTATGTCAAACGTTAGGTGGTTGGAGGAGAACTGACAGGAGTCTTAGACTTAGAACTAATTGAAATTTGTAGTCATTAGGGAGCTGATGTTTTAGTTGAGATTCAAATGCAACGGTTCAGCTAGGGAATTAAATATTAATCATGTTATAGTAGCAAGCGATTTAACAGCGTAGAAAATGAAGATGTCTCTAAAGGTGTCTGCACATGTTCCGTGGGATATTATTTTAGTGATATTGTGAATAAATGTGTTTTTAATCAAGAAATTAACTAATACTTTGGATAAATGTTTTATTAACTCGATTCCTTACTATGCATTATCAATATTCCTGGACAATATCTCTCAGCCTAATAGTAAACTTAAATTTAATAATGTTTATGGAAATCAATCAATCTAAGAGTAATTCGCATCACGAAGTGACTGGATGATCAGTGAAAATGAAAGGGCGGCATTAGACAACTGTTTCGTTTGGGATGAAACTTTTGCTTAACAAAAAAGCAGTTTCAGAAAATTATCTCCGTTTTTAACTACAGTATCTGTAGTTTTTCAGTCGAACAAGTCTAGATATGTTAATATGGGTTAATTTCTCTAGGAATACTTTACAAACCAAACCCAAAGGATGATAACAAGTGAGATGTCATTTAACTGAAGACATCTTTTCTAAACAAATGCCAAAGTTTTTAGTTCAAAGAATGTATTTCTGACAAACCTATTTATTAAAGTATTCACATTTTGTGAGTTAAAAATTTAAAAATATTAAATACACTGGGCTGACATAAATTATAAATCTTCACATTGTGTTACATATCAAATAGAAATCTCGACCACTAGGTTCCATAGTATTAGCTAAATATCAACCTTCATTTCAATAGATCTAAATTTAATAACTTTAACCATCAACTATATTAAAGTTGTATGAAATTTGAAAGCCCAAAATTAAGCTTGCCTATTTTCATCTATGTATTCTGACAATGTGGCATCAGCTGGTCATTTTTATCTGATTATTTTTTCTAACTAGACTTTCTTTTTTAAAAAAGGTTACACTTTACCTTTGACGTTTAATCGTGCTTTCTTCTGTTTGAATGATTTCGCTGGGAAACTTTCAGAAATATAGTTAAATAATGCTCTAAAAATGTTGTTTAACATAATGATAACAATAATATGCTCAGTACAAACAATAATGTATCTTGAACTTTCAAAATAAAATAATATTCTGAATACACACCAGAAGTTCGATAACACCATTTGACTACAAATTCAAACAGTCAATCAATTACAACGTAGGACCAGGCAAATACATGCATCAGTCCAAGTTGCCACACCTTATTAGCACAACAAGGTGAAAACACCGGATTCATAGAAGCAGTTAACTCAGTGGTGTAATATATAAAGGAAAGATTTTATGTAAAGATATAGTACAGGAAGAAAGAATTAGTTCGTAGAAAGAAAGATACGAAGTGATTTTAATCTCATAATTTAAGGGAAGATAAAGAGAGTATACATCCGATTAAATAAAAGTTTGAGGTCATTTGAATAAATGACTGACTTGATAATCCATTTAAGTGGTTTTCAGTTTCTTTAGTGTGTGCAACCAAACAGCTGATATATGCATAATAATTAAAATAATAAAAATAACATTTGATTAAATTATAAATTTAGGTTAAATATCCCTAGGTGTTATAAATGCTTCGATTGAATTTCTCTTAAAGTACAATGATTAGTAGTTAACGTTCAGAAGAGAATGGTATTCCATCTAAACTAGTTTACCTGATTACCAATTGATATTGATAACAATAGTTTCATTATGAATGTAAGAAACTAAACGTGAAATCACATTACCCCACTTAGAAACGATGTTTTACATTCAGTCGACTGATAGTTTGTTAAGAGTAATTAAAATATCCTTGAGTATATAGTTCTAGGGACTGACATCGTATTATAACTTATAGAAGAACTATCTTACTAGATAGTATATTTCTAACACAATCGAATGGTATATGAGTAGTCACTGTTAACTTGTTTAATAATAAAATGTTGAAATTTCAATTCACATTCAGAATAAAGAAACACAGTTTGATTCATATTAGCAACATATAACATTTTGACATTAGAAAACCTGTTTTCTTTATTTTATCATTTGTAAGTGCTACATATAAAGATCCGAAACTTAATATTAAAGTAGTACATTTTTGCACACATGAGTCAATGTATTAAAACAGACTAGATTATTGATGAATAATGATGTTTAAAGTGTCTGGAACTACCCTACATTTTGTTATAGAACAAAAACTTTCAATCCATCATTTACAGATAGGGTCCAATTCGTCAGGTAAGATAACCGTAAGATAAGATTAAGCAATCACTTATTATAAAAGGATACAAAGATGAGAAATTTTATGTAATTCAAATAAATATGTAAACATAAATGAAAGTACAAAATAATGCCATTTTTATGTTCATATTACTTACTTCAAATTGATGATAAGCTATTGCATCTGTCGATCTAACATAAGGAGGGAATAAAACTAAAAATTCCGGTGGTTCTAAGCCAGCGTAGATTAAATAAGCTTTTGTACCTACTGAAATTTGTGAGGAATACAAATTTAAGAAGGGAAAACATTGTTAGTCAATGGAAACGTGTTCGTAAATAGAATAGAAGTTTTAAAAGTAGATGCTTAAATTCAGTGAATATCTTTCTAAACATATTAATTATAAACAGAAATGATGGTGATGGATAGTGGCTAGCAGTGGAGTCCAGGATGCGCGTTTCGTCCTATTTGAGACTCGTCAACTGGGTGTACCCGCAGGTACATCGATCTCGTAATACTCAAAGAAGGATAGTAAACAACTCCTATATGTTCATTTCTGTTATAGCTGATTTCCTAGAAATAACATTTTAATCATCTAGTTTTTCGGCGAATAATCTCTTACTAGTAGGTTGACTTATCAACTGTGAAGACCGCATAGTTTTATTTAGTGAACGCACCGGCATAATGAAACTTTTTAATTATCTTTAATAACAATCCAGTTGCAGTCCTAAACATCCATGGGAAGATCCAAGTAAACAATATCAAGTGAATTTCAACTTCAACCCATTGCACAAGCAAGTGGCTGTCAAGACTCAGTAGCTAAGTGGATAACGCGATGGCATTTGTAGCGAATGGTACTGCGTTCGAGTCCCAGAGTGAACACCAATATTGAGGTGCAGGTACATCCAGCTGACGAGTCCCAAATAGGACGAAACGCGCGTCCTGGATTCCACTGCTAGCCACTATCCATCATTGCTTAAAAAAGCTTGTGAATTAAGGCAATATTGAGGCATGCGCACAGTATGCACATATGCCAATAACAGACTGATCAATTTCAGTCTTAAACCTCAGTCGGAAGATACAAGCAAAGCAATACCAAGTGAAGAGAAATGAAGGTGGGTAGTAGTAGAATCGAGGACGAGCATTTAATCCTTTTTGGAACTCTTCAGCTGGATGCACCTGCATTTCAGAATTTTGATGTTTACTTTGAGACTCAAACCCAGTACTGTTCGCTGCAAATACCATCGCGTTATCCACTTAGCTTTTGAGTTCAGATAACTACTAGCTTGTGCGACGGGGTGAAGTTTAATTCACCCCTGTATTGGCTGTTTGACTTTCCACAACAGCATTGGGCTTGAGTCCTGGAGTGAAAATCAAAACTGAGATTTAGGTACATCCAATTGACGAGTCCCAAATAGGATGAAACCTTCATCCTCGATTCTACTCCTAGCTACCACCCATATCTGCTTATAATGATTGTAACTTTAGACAATATCAAGGTAATCCGCACAGGTTGTACACATATCAATAAGAGACTGATCAATTACAATCCTGAAAATCAATGAGAAGATTCAAGTAACCAACATAAAAACGAATTAAACCCACTAATTATCTTCTAGATAACAAAATGTCATCCATAAGGATAGCTTTAACTGAAGTCGTTAGATGGTCTTAATCAACAGATCAGACCATGTGATGTATGTAAATAGAAAACTTTAAGTATTTCTAACATAGTAATAGTTAATATCCCGTATACTATAATGTTATGACATTTGATATTTACTAAAAAACAAAATGAATTCACCCTATGAATTAACAAATTATTTCATATTGTTTGTACCCTAGATGAAGCTAATGAGATAACATAAGTAAATGCTTATTATGTATATTGCTTAAAATAAGCTTTAACCAGCATATTTCCGCTTTATGCAATAGCATGATATGTATAACAATACCATCTATTAGATTACGAGAATATAAAAAAGAATATAAATAAATGTTTAACAAATAAAGCTGTACTGAAGTACTCCAACTGCATTCCATAATAATTAACATATACTGATTTAAATAGAATCATATGTAAAAGTAGTCTTTATAGTTAACCTTAATTTTCAGCCATAACAAAACATTGGGAATTAAGGCTTATATTAGAATTTACCTTTTCATTTATAAATGATATAGTTGAGATCATGAGTCAATTGAAGCTAGACCACCATTGAAAACCTGGAAGCACTGGACGGTCTTTTCTTCCTATTATGGGACTCAGGACCTGTCAGTCTCGCGCCAAGCGATATAGTAACTCACTGATGACAATGGTGGATGTGTCGCTCAATTTCGTGGATGAGTTGAAGTTAGACGTTAACACCATTGGATGCCGGCTCAATGGTCTAGTGGTTAAGTGCTCGCGCGCGAAACCAGTAGGTCCTGGGTTCGAGTCCCATGGAGTGCGGGATCGTGGATGAGCACTGCTGAGGAGTCCCATACTAGGACGAAACGGCCGTCCAGTGCTTTCAGGTTTTCCATGGTGGTCTAGCTTCAATTGACTCATGATTTCAACCTGTGAAATTTCTAAAAATCTCCACAAAACCCTTTCTGATATAAATGATATATCTAGTAAATAAATTTATCACTTTCACGTTTTGAATTATCTTTTGTGTTTATCTGATTATTGATTAATAATGAAATGGAAATAACTAACCATGTATGAATTCATAAACTAGTCGTTAACCTAGACATTATGTGTGAATATGCTGGTGACTTTAACTAGTTATCCAAACCTAAATTTATAAAACATGATTCAGAGTGATTGGAGGATGCATTTGTTAGCGAATAATTCACTTCTTATAACTTAATTTCTGATTATTTACAAGAAAAAAATTGGGTTTTTTAACTCATGGATTATCATTCCCCATATACTGATTTCGAATTGATATTATATTTTAATCATGGATACTATGATAACTGATTTCATAACTCTTCAGATTGTACACCAAACTGTTATTCTACTGTCAATGCTGTCATCGATGAGTTCATTCGGACTTTATTTGTAATAGATCTCAGGAACTTCAAATTAAGGTTTAGATATTTCTAGTTTTCTGGTAATAATTATGCATTAAATAATCAGTTTACAGAAGTATAACATACAATACAACATCATCTTTATCGTTGGCGTAGGTAATTTAAAACATTTTTGTTTGGTTAGACAGAAATGAATTGTAATAACCAACGTACATTTATCTGCTAGAGCTTTAGCGGTATGCATTGCAGCTTTGCGTACAGCACAAAATCGAGCACGACCTGTTCCCGTCAAAGCTGGTTGTTCATTTTCTTCAAAATCAAAAGATCCATCGGCTGAATTTTGTGGACTAAATTCAAAACATTCATCTAATGATGTACTCCATCTATAATCATCTGTTTGATCTCCTAGAATAGAAGGAGACTTGCTATAAGTTGAAAAAGATCTTGATAACTTTTGTGACATAAATCGAGATCTTGTTAAAGTAGATATAGGCCACCATCCTTCCCAAATATAAACAGACGGTATTCGAGTTATGATGAGAAACAGGGCTGAAATATCATAATATAAAAATGATTGAATGAATAAAAATTACAAACTCAATAAGCCAATATTGTTTTCAGCACTAATGATCTTTTTTCATTATTACTTATTATAAAACTTTAAGCACTGGTAGACTAACAAGTATTACTGAGTATAATATTTCATTCAAAAATATCAGTGTGACCAATAATTTAAACGAAATACTCTGCTAACAAATAGTAGTTGAAAGGAGTCGACAAAAAAAACGGATTTATTATTTGATTTTTGAACAGTTCTACTCAATTCTTTTCAAAATTATGATCACTTATTACCTAACTGATATGAAGTTGTAAACTTTTCTTACAGTTTTATAACCTTTGGTTAAGGGTGGTGGAGAAGATTTGTAGCTCAGGTGGATGATTTTGATGAAGTTTTGTTCTCTGAGCTGGATGGTTTGGTCGTGGAGCTTTCATCGTTCTTCCGAACGACATCATCAGCACAAACTTCAGATAGAAGTGAAGTGTTCGAATTCCTCCATGTTCGTCTCAGAGATTGTTCTGTACACCTCGATGTTGATTGGTTCTTATTGACCTTAAATTTATCATTGTTTACTTCCTTATTTTGGTTGTGTCTCCCATTGGTTTGATTTTTGTTCCTATATTTGTGCATGATTTTTCTGATTGGTTGATAAATTGGGTTGATTTCAATATGCTTGTTGATTGCTGATTGACCTGAGTGCCAGGCTTCTAAAAATTCTCTGGTGTTTTTGGAATGTCGTTCAGAAGAACGATGAAAGCTCCACGACCAAACCATCCAGCTTTTCTCACCATTAAATCAAACTTCATATGAAAATATCAAGTGAATAAATAAGGAAGGTGTATATTTTTCTAATTAGTTCATATGTTTATTTTCATGTCATATTTTGTATTATTACAGCATGACAGCATCATAAGAATAGTGTGAAATATGTTGATATAAATAACTCAAAATATATATGGATAATGAACTTATTATATAAGAAGATCAGTATTATTAAAAGTAGTAATAATATACAACACAATTTAATTATATGTAGGAATTCACTAACGCTTATGGTATAACATGATTTGAAAACTATCTTCTACTCAAAGGACTAATTAGGTGATGACTTCATTTAGTTAATAATATTACAAGCAATTGTGTAAGGTATAATTAAGAAGAAATGAAAATGTCTTAGTATGACCTTAAAAATGTTAAACTACTACTAGTTGCCATAAGAGACTTTTAAGTCGGTTACTTACTAAATGTTGATAAAAGTCGTAGGTATGATGTAAATTAAAATCTCTTAGGTGGAGTTTCGTTCTTTGAGCTGGATGGTTTGGTTATGGAGATTTCATTGTTCTTCTGAATAACGTCATCAGCACGAACTTCAGGTAGAAGTGAAGTGTTCGAATTTTATCATATATGACTCACAGCTTGTCATGTCGACCATCATATAATGTGTCCTATAATTAGTAACAAGCCTACATATTCTCTTTCAGAAACCTTTCACTGGCTGTATATCTTCTTAAACTGATTTATTGATACACTGGTTTTATTCAAAATATAATGAGTCAATTCAGTGACATAATTTATTTGTAATCATTTATGACCAAATTTCTTACGACACCGGTGTTCATCACTAATAGAGGAGCCTACAGTATCTCAGTTTACACACAGTAGCTGTTAAGTGACCAGAAGCGAAACAGAATTTCAAACTCAGATCTCCTAATAGTCTTTTTGGAGGCCTTGAAAGAGTAAATGCTCCACAAAAGCTATAAATTCAAAAAACGCAGTAGGACGGTTACGAGATGTTACGAAAAAAATTTATTAGGGCTATGAGGTTTCAATGGGTTCCAATAGATCTCCTTTCTAAATGATCATAATATTATGTATAATTCCATGTGTATACTAAAAAATCTAGGCATATTTTCATAATTCTGTGGACGCAATCGGAAAATCGCATTTCTTCTACAATCACATATCTAGAGTCATAGATACATCAAATTACATCAAATAGTGTTTTGAATATTAATGGATATTCGGATCCTGCATGCGGGATCATGGATGCGCATTGCTGAGGAGTTTTATAATAAGATTAAACGGTCGTCTACTGCTTCCAGGTTTACAATGATGGTCTAAAACTGATCGATTCATGATTTCAATTAAAACTCAACAATCTCTATAACCTTTTACTAATAGATATTCATCTCTTAAACTAAAAAGCTTAAGTTCAGTTATGAGAAAGATTATTTTGCTCATTGTTCTAGCAATTCAGAAGCAGAATACAACAGCTAGATAGTCAGTACCTAGTTAACTTCATAATATGCTTACATCTTTAAATCTTTGAATATCTAACAAAATTTATGTTTACCATTAAATCAAAATTATTATTATTATTGTATTATATAAAATGGATATTAGAATGTACATAAACAAAATCGATTGTTCGCAGCAACTACATAAAACGTACATGAATATATACAAACTAATACACCGTATTTACCGTCTATTACCTGACCAACAAATTACATAACTTCTAAATGATCAATTTATTAAAGGGATGAATTGTTAACGAATGGCATTACATAAATAAATAGTATACTGAAAATAATATATACCTTTTAACACAATGATTTTCAAAATAGATACTACTTAATATAAGTATAGTGAATAAACAAAGTATTTAGACAAATAGTGAAAGCATTCAGCCCATCAAAATGATTTAAATTTAATTCTTGTTAGTTAAATAAATGATTCTTTAGTGTTGAAGTTGAAGTTCAATAAAATTATGGAAATATTTTTACTATTTAACGATTTAAACAAATTTTATTAAACAAGCATGTAATCCTTAAACCACATAAAAATTAGCGCACACACGAAGGAAAGAGGAATATGATAGTTTAGTGAAAAGCCAAGTGGAAAAGAATAATAAAATAGTGTACACGAGCATTTCATCCTAATATGGAACTCCTCAGCAGTACGCATCCACGATCGTATACGCAAGACTTGAACCTAAGACTTTCGGTTTTACGTGCGAACGATTAACCTTTAGACCACTAAGCATACATCCAACAGTGTTAATGTCTAACTTCAGTTGATCCACGATCTTGCTCAACCCTTCATCTATTGCCTGAAGTGAATAACTGTCTCCACCCGACGCGGATTGAACTCCACTGGTCACGGCTTCTCACTTGAACTCCAGGAAATCTATCCTGAAGCTAAGATATTGTTTGAAATGATTATTGTCTTATATGATGGTTAACTTAGGGTGTTTACGTGAACATGTATGCAACACTGACTGACCTTAGTTAAATAATAACTGAAAAACAGAGCAATACACAGCTGTCTAGTACTTCTTTAATAGATCACAACTAGTTACAAAAAGTAATCCTTAGTTTATGTTATTTTACGGCTAAATGTGTATTCGAACGGGAACATAAATTTGCATTGGTTTCAATTTATCATTTCAGAGGAAAATAAATAAATATTTACACACTTACATGGTTGTGGTACAGAGTATAAATCTCCAAGTAGGAATGGAAAAGCTGGCTCTATAGGAGACTGAGATAAGTGGGCAGTTATTAAGTTTTGTGATGCTAAAAATCGTTCAGTAACTCCTTCAGTAGATTGTGATGATGGCGATACACTATTAGTATTAGTTTTGATCAATGTCTCATCAAATGGTAAACTTGCCGGATCTGGCTGAAGAGTATAATTTAATCGTTCCACACCTAGTTTGCGTCCTTTATGGTGTGTAAATTGCCAGATAGCCATTAGACTATGAGCTAATATGAAGGACGGAAAACAAGTTACCATATGAGTAAATTAATTTTGAAAAGTTAAATATTTTCTCAGGTTCAAATATACTCAGTTTGCAAACGTAAGAGCTTAGAGTAAATATATCGAACAATACACTAAAGGAAATAAGAATATAAGCAACCAAAAAGAAACGAATAAGATATGGAAATCCACTGAATTTTACAAAATAAGAACATTGAATGCTGTGAATTGTAGTACGCCATAATCATTTTCTTTGTCAGATTGTTACCCAAACCCTTGATAAAAAAACGTCATACATTTCTATTTTGATTTATTTTGTTTATTCTCATATTTTCAACCAAAATAAGAAAGATTAATAGAATACGTTTAAAAATTTGATGGTCAGTTTATTGTTATGTAGGTAGAAAGTTAATCAAATAAGATATTCATGTAATTAGATAATATAATCGAATCCATTGGGCTGACAGCATAAGCAACATCCTGTTGTGTTATAGAATAGTCTGACTTCCAACTGAAGAGGAAATTACTAAAAGGCGGTGGAGGTGAATAGTGCGCACATTGAGGAAATCATCAAACTCCTTCACCAAACAAGCCCTAGCTTGAAATTATCAAAGCAAGATAAAAAGTGGCAGACCAAAGGAAACATTACACCGGGAATCGGGGGCAGATATCAAAAGAATGAATAGAAATTGGAAAAAACTAGGAAAGCCCAGGACAGAGTATGTTAGCGGGTAACATATGCTCCACAAGTAAGTAAGTAACAAGATTAATAAACAATTCAGGTTGCCAAGAAAATACTTTATTGTCAATGTCAAAAAAACTGGGATAATACAGGAGAAGCGAATAATCATTGTCAGCTTGACATTTAACTACATTTGTCCCAGAAAATCTTAAAAACCAACATAATTATTATTATGAAAACTGAATCCTGCTAGGAAAGTTTTGAAAACCAAGAAGTAACATATAGATCATTTAAATTTCTTTAGAAATTCTAAGAAGTGTGCACCAAGACAAGTACAGAGAGTTGAACTCCTTACTCACAGGCTATGAGGAATGTAATTTTTTCAGACCACTAAACTGTGATCCGATGGTATTTTCACTGTAGCTGTCTTTCTTAGGGTAACAAACATCCACAATTGACTCTTAAATTTGAGCAAGATATACATTTGATCCTTAATGATTGTTAGTTATGCTCACAATCAAAGTGACTCATTATGTGAGATCTTAAAGGTTCAGTACTCCAAGTATATCTAACCTTTGTGTAGTCCGATTTTATGTAATTACTAGTCAATCAAATTGGAATCGTCTAATAAGTACGAATTTCATTAATAAGTATTTATTCATTGCACGTCCCACTAATGTTTGTTATACGTGTTTCACCCTCGATTTTTTTGACTGATTATATGTACAATAATTTACGTATCTAAAAAAATGTAGTTTTAAAGACCAATTTTCACTTGCTTTGACTACAGTGATGCACAAACTAAGTTTCTACAATTTTGTGGAACATGCTGGCAAAATCAATCCTAAACTGACTTTTAATAATTCTTCACATGTAATCTACTCTTAAGAAGTTACCTGAATGGATACTAATAATGTTAAAATATAAATAGGTTTTAATTATTATTTACAGGTTCGATATGATAACAGATTGGAAAATATCAAGTCTAAAGAATATAAGGCTTCAACTAATAAGCAGATAAATTTCCAACTTCTACTCCCGACTACTTCACAGCCAAACAAGTATACTCTTAGGACAACATAAGTAATTAGAAATAACTTTCATATACGAAGAATAAGAAGTTGAACAGCCTTAGACGTATTCATCAGTAATGCCATTTTTAAGTAAGCTCAAATAGATATGAACTAACACTCATAAACTATGAAAAGATAAATAAAGAAACGTTAAAATAAATATAGAAGCTAAATTCATTTTGACATGTGAAATTTGATGTGGAGCTTAATTACAAAGCCTTTAGTAATTTTCATTTAATCCATGTATGTTCATGTTTCCATGTGGATAGTTTTGCACTGTGTTATGTTTAACAATAACATTCAAGAAAAAAAAGAAGAGAGAAATCAATTTTCAAACTAAGCAGTTGATAAAATTAATCAATAAACTTTGTTTTCATCAATAAGTATAAAACTCATATCAATCATTCGATGGAATTCAGGAATTAATTAGCAATGAAAGTTTGAAATGGGACTAGAAAATCTTTCAGATTAGAATAGAAATATAAATGAAATCGATTGATCACTTAACAATTCATACGTCCAAACAAAAACAAAAAAACGATTCTAGAAGTACAGTGGCTATAGTCTAAACTACATGTTCATCGTTTTTGAAAATCATCGAAAAAACGTGTTTTTTTTGTTCATTTTTTAGTGACTGAAATCAAAAACGTTGCAAATGTTGTGTTTTAGTGTTATCACGAACAATATATATATTACTAAGAAGTGTTAAACACAAGTGTTTAATGCCAGAACAGATAGATTAAACTGCAAAATCGTGCATGGAGAACAGCTCACAAACTCGTTCGAAGTAAAGACCGGTGTCAAGCAAAGTTGCTTATTCAATAAACCTTTCTCTTTCTCTTGGTGATCGACTGAATCATGAAGATGTCAACATCTGAGGGGAAGCACAGGATACAGTGGACATCTAGGATGCAGCTGGACGATCTAGACATCGCAGATGATCTGGCTCTTCTATCGCACACGCAATAATAAATGCAGAAGACGACCAGTGTAGCAGCAGCCTCAGCAGCAGTAGGTTTCAATATACACAAAGGGAAAAGCAAGGTTCTCAGATACAACACAGCATGCAACAATCCAATGACAATTGACGGAGAAGATTTGGAAGATGTCAAAACCTTTACATTTTGGGCAGCATCATTGATGAACATGGTGGATCTAATGATGATGTGAAGGCGGAAATCGGTAAAGCAAAAGCAACAATATCTACAATTGAAGAATATCTGCAACTCAAAACAACTGTCAACCAACACCAAACTCACAATTTTCAATACAAATGTCAACACAGTTCTACTGTATGTGGCGGCAACCTGGAGAACTATCAAAGCCATCATCCAGAAAATACAGGTGTTTATTAACTGTTGTCTACACAAAATACTTCGGATCCGTTGGCCAGACACTATTAGCAACAACCAACTGTGGGAGAGAACAAAACCAGATCCCAATGGAGGACGAAATTAGTAAGAACCACTGGAAGTGGATAGGACACACATTGAGGATATCACCCAACTGCATCACGAGACAAGTCGTCACATGGAATCCTCAAGGCCGAAAGGGAAGTGGAAGACCAAAGAACACATTACGCCGAGAAATGGAGACAGACATGAGAAAAATGAACGAAAATTGGATAGAATTAGAGAAGGCCGATAACAGAGTGAGTTGGAGAATGTTTGTCGGTGGCCTATGCTCCATTAAGAGTAACAGGCGGAAGTAAGTAAGTAAGTAAGTATGTAGTAAATTATGTAAGCTGATGTTGACATTAATTGATCAATTTTGATTGCATGAGACATGCCTCAATGTAGTGAGATAAGAAAATGGGAAATAATGCAGTCGTAGCTTCCAGAAAACGAAGATATATATATATATATATATAATAACTCATTATAGAGAAGTTGAGAACAGGGATATTTGACTAGTCGATGCATACGACCAAACTAGCATTATTATTTCCAAAGTTTCACTTGTTGAAGTTATAAGTTGTAGAAAAATACAAACATTAAAAGAATATGCATTAATTAGCTAATATAATTTTTTTTAAATATTTTTAATACATAAATCGATAAGCAGAATTGTTTATAATACATTACTCTTACATTTTATTGAATCTAAGCATAATGGACTCGATAATTGATCTTCAGAATTGAGTATATTTAAAAATTCTTTAGATAGTTCATTTCTATCATGTTGATGAATTTCATAAATCAGATTTAATTGTTTGCCAAGTTCTGGTGGACAACTTTACAAAAAATTAAAAGTAAAAGTAAACATTATTGTTACTGTCCATTGTAAATTTTATAAATATATACATCATACACTGTATGACAATAAATTAGAGGTGTATAAACATTATAATCTGAATCGAATATATTCAACTGATAAATAGGTTTAATATAGTTTAGTAATCGGTTAGCATTCACAGATTTGTGAACTGGAGGATTGATGAATCACATGTACAACTGGTTTAATTCTGTAAATCAGTTTAAGCACTAGGTGATTCGAACTCGAATCTCATTTTAAGGCAATGTTTGTCAAGTAAATGGTAGTACAAAACCCAAGGTGACATCCACTTGATAATTTTCTAAGATTACTTGACAACAGACTTAAATCACTAAGATATGCAGTTCCTTAAACTAGTGGATACACTGCAACTTGATTGATAGGATCCAATTAATCCTAAAGACTAGTCAATATAATATTGATTACTAGACAGAGATTATTTATTTTAAACTCACCATTTCTTTAATTGGTTGAGAACATATTTTGCTGTTGTTAAATAACTCGGTGGTACTAATTGACCAATCCAACAGAATGCTCTAATAATTTCAGCAGAATCTGTCATTGGATATTTGGTATATTGCACTAATAATAAGACACCTTGTGGACGTAATGAATTTAACTGAACTGGAACTTCAATGAGATGACCTTCTTCCATAACTTCACCACGGACAATGAACATACGTGTAGTGAACTTGAAATGGAAATAAATGCAAAGTTTGATTCAGAAATATGCGGTCAAATACATTTATCATAAATTTCCGCACGAATATAATTGAATCAAAACAATATGGTTTATATCACTAACATACTACGACTGGAATCTGATCTTACCCACTCTACTAGTTAAATAGAAACTCATTTTCTAACGCACATCGAAATCTTGAGTTTTATCGTTGGATTAGCCACTAGTAGATTATGAATAAAAGTATGGATATTATCTAATTTTAAGATGAAAACTGTCTCATTTGCTTATGAAAGAAGATCAAACACTTAAGAATCAATAATAAAGACTAATTATTCAAATATTATTTAGTATTTTATACTATGAAAAACGAATCAATGGTTTACACATTAGTTGCTTTCCATCTAACAACAGATACGGAAATTAGTTGACAGTGTATAACTGTTTTATTTTAATTCAGAACTTGATATTTAACATGGAAAGAGAAATAATATCAGAAATATAATTAACTAACTAAAGTTGGCAATACCTTGTGCACCCCCCCCCCATAAAAAAACAAAGAAACACGGTTTCACTGTTTTAAAAGTAATTTAATAAACAAATGACCATTAAAAATTATTAGTTTGATTATGATTTCTGATTAATAAGAGGTTATAGTTATATCTCAACTACAACAGGTGACAACATATGCTTCTTAATGAGTCAAAAAAAGTATTTTTAATGGATGGAAATCCAGTATCATTTGTGATATGAAAATGTATTCTTGTTTGATGGTTAACATTCATTATAGCTGATAAGCTTATCCAATGGTAAATGATTTTAAACAAAACAAAATGTAATTTAACGTTAATAAGTTTACTCATAAATTATCTTTTAATTCATTCTAATGGTTGAAATCATGAATCAATCGAAGCTAGACCACCATGGGAAACCTGGAAGAACTGGACGGCCGTTTCGTTCTAGTATGGGACGCCTCAGCATTGCGCATCCACGATCCCACCCACTCCAGTGAGATTCGAACCCACGACCTATCAGTCTCGCGCCACGCGTCTAACCAACTAGAACACTGAGCCGGCATCCAAAAGTGTTAATATCTAACTCCAACCAATCCCCGAAATTGCTCCACCGTACACCATTGTCTTCAGTGAGCTGATATCTCACAACAGACCTGGTTGAACTTCACTGGCCATGGCTTCTCACTAGAACTTCAGGAAATGCCTCTTGAAGTCAGTCACTAGTGAGCAGATGATTATTATCAGAAGGGTTGTGTGTAGATTTTAATTGTAATAGGTCTGGATATTCCTTTTCCTTAGCATTAACTATTAAATTATTTGAAAAGTGAAAACAAGTTAAGTTTAAATTTCCTATTACTGTAATCATGTAACAATCAAAATGAAACTTTACCCTTGGAATAAATTCTTAGAACTTACTTCTTTTTGTGCAGTTCTTTTTCCTTCATGCGTAATCATTCGACCGTTAAATAGATAACAAAATACTGGTGGTTCTCTTCCTTCGATCACTCTTATCTAATTATTGTTACAAATATAAAATTAAGGAAATATTTTGAGTGATTTTTTACTCTGAGGATTTTTTATTATTAGGAAAAGAATGATGCCATCAAGTGGATAAAATTCAGACTTTTGTTAAAAAAGGACTTTTTACCCACCATTTGTCTTACAAAATATCATTTATTCTGAGATATTTAAACATTGCTGCTTTCTCAGAGCTAGCTTTTATTGTTATTTTGAACTACATTATCAGTCCTAAATCCAAATAAAAAGGAATGCCACTACCATTACCAGAAATTCGCATCACTGGCTACCCAATTACTTTGAAAATCCCAATTATTATTTATAATTCACAAATAAATTATGAGCGATTGGTAAAATGATTATAGTTTCCTCTCAAATTGAAACCATCTAAAAAACCATCGAAAACCATGGAGCGCTAGACAACTAGTTCATCTTAATTAAACGTGACTCAGCTGTACAATGGTCAGTTACTTTCGCTAGTCCTTCAGCTATTATCAGTCTTTTGTGAAAACTGCCTGACTAGATTCTATTTTAAACAAGTGAACATACTGAAGTTTTTTTGTTATATCCCGACAAGAATTATGAATCGTAACACTTGAGAATTATCTATGGACCAATACGATAAGATAAAGTCTATAGACTGCTCGTACGGGTTTTACGCGTCATTGGTGCAGTTGATAATTCACTGTTCTCTAATCGGCGGTATCATTACGTCATATATTGAATGGGGAAAAAGGGCCATAAGATATGACACCTTTAAATTAGATAATGAAAAGAATGCTTATAAAATGTTATCCCTATAACCAACTGTTTTATGCCATATTTCTGTTTCAATTTCATTAACTAAAATATATATCAAACCTTTTTTTCAATCATTTCATTCGTTGTAGTATTAACCTGTTTACATGTAATAAGAAGCATTGAACTGTTACTTATTTTGTTACTGTTGTAAATCATGCAGTTTTTTGCTTTGTTCATTATTATTATTAAAATAAAATATATTGTACAATAAATTAATAACCAGTTTTTTTCTCTATAATAAACACAGCTGAAAGTGCCTACTAACTTTAGTATCGCTTTAATAATATGAACAGTATGAAAATATTATATACAGAAATAAACATTTGTTAGCAGTGGAATTAGGAACGCGCGTTTCGTCTTATTTTGGACTCATCAACTGGATGTACTTGCATCCCAGAGCTTTGATGTTCACTCTGGGACTTCAAATAACTAATACGAAAATGAATGAGGTATGCACATTCTCATTTATGCCATACAGTCAAACAATTATTTAAAATTTTACTTTAAAACGAATTATTAATTATTTGAATTACGATATGAGATTTTCAATATTTAAACTCCTAATTTCGTTCTAACTGTTGAATAGGACGATTAAGTTAGTTACTTCCGCCTGTTACTCTTAATGGAGCATAGGCCACCGACAAACATTCTCCAACTCACTCTGTTATCGGCCTTCTTCTCTAATTCTATCCAATTTTCGTTCATTTTTCTCATGTCTGTCTCCATTTCTCGGCGTAATGTGTTCTTTGGTCTTCCACTTCCCTTTCGGCCTTGAGGATTCCATGTGACGACTTGTCTCGTGACGCAGTTGGGTGATATCCTCAATGTGTGTCCTATCCACTTCCAGTGGTTCTTACTAATTTCGTCCTCCATTGGGATCTGGTTTTGTTCTCTCCCACAGTTGGTTGTTGCTAATAGTGTCTGGCCAACGGATCCGAAGTATTTTGTGTAGACAACAGTTAATAAACACCTGTATTTTCTGGATGATGGCTTTGATAGTTCTCCAGGTTGCCGCCACATACAGTAGAACTGTGTTGACATTTGTATTGAAAATTGTGAGTTTGGTGTTGGTTGACAGTTGTTTTGAGTTGCAGATATTCTTCAATTGTAGATATTGTTGCTTTTGCTTTACCAGTCCGCGCCTTCACATCATCATCATTAGATCCACCATGTTCATCAGTGATGCTGCCTAATCAGTAGGCGGTGTGTATGAAGAAAATAGATATATGTGATTCATTGATGAATCAGTTTGACTCATATATTGAAATAAATATCGGTGTGTAGGGGTATTTCGTTCATGCCTATTCACTGAGGTTCAAGTGAATATGATAAAAAATAAACTCCTAGTCTGTTATCATTTTATGTCCATTTCGAATTTGTTTAACAGTAAAACTAGTAATATTGACACTAGTGATAATGTCTACATTGTCTAACCGATATCAATTAATTTAATTTATATAATAAATTGAAATATTATTATAAAGAAAAATAATTAACCTGTGGACCTCTTTCTTCATCTAATTCAATAGTCATTAATGCAGCTGCCCCTTTTTCTGTTATTTTACTTCGTGATCCTTGCCAATAGAAATAAGCACAATGTTCACGAACATTTTCAGTTGGACGTTTATTGCTATTTTGTAAACTGGCTAATAATGAAATAAATTAATTTAAAAAATAATAAAATGAGATTCAATAATAAATAAGGCAAAAGATCAATGATATTGAATCTAATGTTTAGTGGTGAATTAGAGGTTTAATACAAAAGTTTGATTTACTCAATAAAAAAAGTAATTATAAGCCAATATTATGAATTTTCATGTGATAGGTGAATAATTTCTGGTTATTGATTAAGATCATGAACCGAATGATGTTAGACCACTTTTGGAAACCTGGAAGCACTAGTCTAACATCAATCGGTTCATGATCTCAATCAAAAACTTAATAGTCTCCACAACCCCTATACTAGTAATTTCTGATTAATTCGAAAGGGGAGGGGACTAGTAACTAGACATTGATGTTAATTAAAATAATATTATGGATAATGACTAAACAACTGATACTGTGATTTCTTTTTTATTGTTTTTTTCTAGCCACACATATCTTTGAATTATTTTTCATCGAAAGAAGTCATGTATATTGATGGATTTTTGTTCTTTGAGCTGAATGGTTTGATCGCGGAGTTTTCATCGTTCTTTTGAACGACGTCACCAGCACCAACTTCAGGTAGAAGTGAAATGTTTGAACTTCTCTATATGTGGTACAGGACAAGCTGTGAACCATAAACACAGTGAGAAGAATATTTCCTATAAAAATATTTTGGAAAGGTTTTACTGGAACTCTTCATTTTCTTTATAAATATTCAAGCAAATAATTGAAAATTTTCAAGCTTTGAAAATACTTCATTTAGTAATCAGTAAGAATTAGACATTTAAAACATGAGTGTTTGTTTTCATCAACAGAACTGTATGTACACTTGATATCTTACATATATTATTATAAGTTTGATGGTAAAAATGAGTATGGAAATGCCTACAAAGTCACTTCATACTTCCTTATGAGCGATATATATTATATCAATCGTTTTTTTATATAACCTCTCGAAGAGTAATGATAGTTAGTGCAGGAGTGATTTGAAAGAAAATAGTGGCGAGACCGAAACGTGGCATCAGTCATGAAATCATTAACTGTTAAGTTGAACTGAGTAATTAGGTGTTGACTAATAGGTTAGTTTTTACGTGATTATCATAATCAGTAGTCAGAGGCTTTGGATGATTTAGCTCAGAATGATATGACATAGGCTTGACCCGACCTGTTTTTTTTTATTGGCTATTCTAAATATTTTTCCTTCCTTCCTTTGTACTAATTAAAACTGAGTTAATTTTATTTGCTTTTTTTCTCTGAAAAAGAGAACGGCTTACACTGAGTCACGAAACGTCAGAAAATTTAATTTTTCTGCTCAATGAAATGTTAATAACAATCTACCCATTGCTCAATTTATTTAGAATTATCAAGTCAAAGCTTGATAAAGATACTTAGTAAAGAATCGTTTAAATTGGCACTCTTTATTTTCATTTAAATCTTCAGTTTTTTTTAAAAAAATTAACCTAGTAATCTTTTATATTCCAGGAATTCATATTTTCTTCTGGAATCATATCCTCTGTATGTATTGTCTTTTACAACCACTAATATTGTTAATAGCCAAAATACTCCAGAATCACGCTGTGTAAATGTCAACTTGAATCTATGTACATATGTGTCTAGTTCTAATTTTCATATGAATGACTGACTGATACTATTATTCATATCTATATGATTAGTAATTGTCAATGCTTCTAATTTGAATTTGTCCATTAAAGATAGTATTTATGTTGTATTAAATAAACATACGAATAATACAACTATTATTTGTACAGATAACTTATCATTTAGTCGTTTATCATTATGATTGCCACAGTTCAAAAAGGTTAATGCGTTAAAGTTTAAATGTGATATTTTTAATTTGATCAGTTTTAATACACTAAACACAACTGTTTCCAAATGTGTTCTTAGTTTACAATATGTATATATATGTGAACACTTTGGTATCTTGCATCGACTTATCTATGAAATGAAGAACAAGATTAATTGACTATGGTCGTGATAATGGACAATTATTAGTTTGCTACCTGCAAGAAATTTACCTAATAAGCAATTTTATATTTCAGTATAAAAAAAGTAACTTAACTATAACATTGGGAATATACAGTAGGTTTCATTTAATTTTTGTCCATTAAACTAGTTCAAATGATTTAAAACAACATAACACCGGTAATTAATTAGTGAACAGCTGTAGATTTGAAATAAATTCTGTCCATATTTTAGGTTTCATTTAAAACTATCATTCAAAATAATTTATAATTTGTTGAATCATTGAATGAAATATTGTTAAAAAGTAGATTAATTATATGTCTACAATGTACATATTGTGAATGATTTAATCGGAAGAGTTAGACTAAAAAGCTTGAAGAATGTTACCGATGCAGGTAGCCTCCCTTTACTTGTAATTTCAACAATACTCATCTAAGATTTGTTGATAATATCATTTTGTAAGCAGAAACAATGAACTAATAAGTAAGAGCATCAGTGATATTTTTAGACATTTGTAATAAACATAACAATGTTAGTTGTAAGGTTTATTTGTGGTGACCAATTATGCTTTGGATATCGAGTGCTGGTGGACGGTCTATGCTCCTCCACGAGGAGTATTGGGTAAGTAAGTAATTATGGCTTTTTATATGTTAATGTTATGTGAAATGAATCAAGTTATGAAAATCCATATGTATTCATTCATACAGTTAACGTTTTTTTAATCACCACAATGTTCAATATCAACTGTTATCTCTTAACTAAAAGATCACAACTTAGATTAATAAATTCATCATTTAAATTATACATGAAACTACAATTCAACGGGGATGTGTCTAGTGATATTCTGAAAGATAGGTTAACGAAAGTAATTAGCACGACATTCTACGCAACCAATCTTGCGTTGATCTTCTCGAGTCCACCAGCGATGTCTACTCAAACGAAGGATAGGTTACCTCAGTTGGTCTCCTCAATGTGCATCTACAAAATCAGCTGCTCCTGTGGCGATAGCTATATCGGGCGTACTACCAGGTAACTTAACCAACGAATGAGTGAACATCTACCAGCTTGGTTTATAAGTAGCTAGGTAAAAACACAACACAGTTCTATCTTGGCACATCTTATTGATAATGGTCATAATGTAGATAAATCGGAAGCGTTTCGAGTGATCTATCGTATACCTCCATTATTCCCCAACGAAGCTCATTCCCATCTCTTACATATAGCTGAAGCCATAGGAATTCGTACATTTAACCACAATTTATGTGTACCGAAGATATTACGCTACAGTTTCGTTAGAATACTAAACATTCAATCTAAGTATTCTTAGGTGCATGAAAATAACATAACTAAATCTTAATGCTAAATAATTTTAAACACGATGAAAAGTACTTCAGTTTTTGCTTTCTGTAAGCCTGAAGAAAATGAGATAAAAATCATTTCCATCTTTATTAAATAGATGAAAATTAAGCCTATGCAATTGGTGATATATTACACTGGGAACATTTTATATATTAAAATTTCTATGTGTCAATTTTTCTAACAATATATTGATCAGTTAACTACAAAGAGGAAACAAATAAATCTGCAACTCTGCAACTTGACATTTAATTTCAGTACAAAAATATGAGAACCTTGAGATACACTTGAGTTAGTTTAATACACTTCATATGTAAAGCCTCAGACTGAAGGAATATGGGTTATTTACAGATACGACTTTCATGACATGATCCAACGAGGACATACTTTAAATAACTCTGCTCCCCTACTTCTGTAGTGGATAGAAATGAAATGTTAGTCTACGATTTTATGGTCAATTACCATAAATGTTTGTCGGAAATAGATGCTGCAATGATATTAAAATCTTTTCGTCGTCAAAGTCACCATCAACATTTTACTTTCAACAATTATAAACGAAAATATTTACTTACTATAAGCAATTTTATATGACCATCTGATGACATAAGTATCTTCTCTATGAAATTGTCCATGACTTGTTAAAGGTATTTCGTACCTAGCGAATTCCGAAATATGCCATACACGAAGTTCATTTGTTTCTACCCAAAACTGTCTTATTATACCATCTTCATAACGACATACTTTACCACCACGACCAATGTAACGTCCTTCAAGTGTTAGTAGATTTGGAGGAGGTGGTGGATTATTAATTGCAGTTTCATAGAGTTCATTAGCTGAATATGGTTCCATAGTCAATGAAGCTATAGCAGGAGAACTCTTTAAAATATTCGTCAAGAAAGTAATTAGGAAAACTGTGTTTACAAATATGAACATTTATTGTGAAATATATTTTACACAAAATTCACCTACCATCTAAGAATACTGCCCATTCTATAAACTTTAGAAACGAGTTGGACAACTTATATACTGCGTACACTGACACAATGATCTGTTTACATGAATCATGAATTTATGAATAGATACTATGTAAAATGCCTATCATTTGTTAATCAAACATGTAAATGAGTTTTGAAATATTAATTATTGAAAGGTACATAAATGTGAACAATTCTTTAATTCACTTGGTATTGTTTACTTGAAGCGTTCCATTGATGTTTAGGGCTGCAATTGATCAGTCTATTATGTGCATACTGTGCGAATTGCCTCGATATTGTTATAATTCACAAACATTCTAGGCAAAGATGCATAGTGGTTAGCAGTGGAATCCAGGACGCGCGTTTCATCTTATTTGGGACACATTAGCTGTATGTACCTGCATCTTAGAGTTAATGCTCACTCTGGCAATATCTAGGCAATACGCACAATATGCACATACGCCAATAACAGACTGATCAATTTCAGTCCTAAACATCAATGCGAAGATCCGAGTAAACAATACCAAGTCAACTTAAACTTCACCCCATCGCACAAGCAAGTGACTGTCAGGACTCGGTAGCTAACTGGATAACACGATGGCGTTTGAAGTGAACGGTACTGAGTCCAAGTCCTGTAATGAACATCAACCCTGAGATACAGGTACATCCATCTGACGAGTCCAAAATATGACGAAACCTACATCCTGGATTCTACTGCTATCCACTGTCCATCTTTGTGAATAACTAATTTAATATAGATTAAAACAGTGTACACTGATCTAGATCTTTTTTCTATCTATTAACTGATAAATGTCAAATTATTGATCTAAGGAGAAAATCAACATTATCATATTGGAGAAGGAGTTTTGTGGACACTATAGTAATTCCAATGGTTGAGATCATTGCAATTACTATAATGTTCACAAAACCTCTTCTGATATTAATCAATATATGCTCACTAGTGACTGGCTTCAAGAGATATATCCTAGAGTTCTTGTGAGAAACAGTGACCAGTGGAGTTCAATCAGGTCTGTTGTGAGATATCAACTCACAGAAGACAATGGTGGATGTATCGCCCAATTTAGTGGATTAGTTGAAGTTAGACATTAGCACCATTCGATGCTGGCCCAGTAGTCTAGTGGTTAAGCGCTTGCGCGCGAGACTGATAAGTCCTGGGTTCGAATCTCGCGGTGGGGGGAGGCGAGATCGTGGACGAGCACTGCTGAGGAGTCCCATACTAGAACGAAACAGCCTTCCAGTGTTTCCGGGTTTTCCATGGTGGTCTGGCTTCAAATGACTCATGATCTCAACCATTGCAATTATCATGAATTTCTCAGCATTTTACAGATTATAAAAGTTAAAAAGATAAAACTATACCGACAAATTGATCTTAATTGTTTCATTTGATTCATTCAATAAAATAATAATAATAAATATTCAATACAAATTGTCTATTAGTACTTTTACTTAGTAAATATTCATTTTATAATAATTTACTAAATTATATTCTTTGTACAACTAGTTAGAACGTATGTCTTACTATAGTTTAGTAAATTGGATAAATGTGAATACTTGGTTATTATTATTATTATTCTGTTGTCATAACTGAGATAATAATATTATAAATGTGTTAAGAGATTAAATATAGTAAAGAAGATTCTAGAATTTGCTACCTAGAAACCATTGAATTATGGATTCATCATTACTTAGTTGTAATAGAACTATATACCATACTTTAGAACAAAAAAATGGTATACCACAAAATTAGTAGAATAAGTTTGTGTAAGTGAATTTTTTAAAAAAAGTCTAATTACATGAAACTAACAAATAAATATATTTATACCTACCTCCGTGGAGATTGATTTTCCAGGTTTCAATGATTTTATTTGAATTCTTGAAGTATCAGGCCAATCAAAGAATTTCTCTTTAAATAAGACTGTTTCACCTCTATCCGTTACTTTGCCTAATAAAGTCCATTCTGGTCGTTTACATCCAGAAGCTAATATATCACTGGTGTGTGCTAAAACAATTTTTTTTTAAAAATAATAAGATGCACTTACTACGGATCAAAAAGATTCTTCATTTTGTTGAATAAAATTGTTTTAAACTTATGTATATTAGTTAAACAAAATTGTACTTGTAGTTTTTACTGAAGAAAATTCAAATCCCATGAGGTAATAATCAACATCAGCTGATAATGAGTGATCCAATAATCGTGAAACTAAAGTTGCTTATTTTACATCTTGTGAAAGTCATAATCATCGAATAAAAACAACGTTTCCAGTTGTATCAATTGATGAATACGACTTTATTCAGCTTATGAAAAATAAGTAACGTATTTTTTTTCCGAAACAAACTATTTAAATACAGAATCGTTTGACATAGACGTATACATAGATTCATCAACCAGTGTATAAATTAATCGGGTTTAATGTCATTTATCTTTGCATACAGTTACACAATGTCATAAAAAAGTATAACAACAAGTACACTTTATGAAGGTTTCAAGAACTAAAAAAATTACTTCCTTATCCTTTTTTTATTTATTGATAATGTAAATCATTCTGTGACAGTTTTTTTCCTTTTTGAAATTGTTCTGAATATCTACAACGTTAAGTGAAGTATATTGAGCCATATCAATTCATGATAACATATCATATCATATACACTTCTCCTAATTCTTCGACAAAAATATGTAATTAGATACATAGGACTGTTGAAAAATAACATTCGCTTGGTTTTATCAATTCAGTCGATTTAAGATGCTTGAAATACATAGCATAAGTAAAGTGAAAAACTAATCATTTAGTATGCCTGTCAATCATTCATTTAAGTCAGATATTGATATACTAATAAGTTCAGTACATTAAACTACTGTCGTACTTCGAAAGAAAGGAAAAAAAACACAACTAAAAACAGTAAAAGGTTACTAAATAGTGTCAGTCATGTAGCAGATAAAGTATGGTGAAATAACTAGTTTGTTATAAATAAAATGATATTTATAACGATGTTTATTGTCAGTGTACATGATAATAGCCAAAAATACATAATCAATATCAGATCACAGAAGTCCAATTTAGATTTGCTCAAATTCAACTGATGGTATTACAGTCCAGAGTTAAATCGATACACTGAGATCTACTTCAAATTTTACATTTCCACTATTAAATATTCAATTACAATTAAATTAAATCCGAATATTGAACAAAAGAGGTAGCATTTTGGGGGTGAAACGATTTTTACTTTGACATGTATACACTGAATCTTCCATGTAAATACTACTTATATAAATCAGATGTAATTATGCTGATTTATTGTTAGAAACATAGATTAAGTAATTCATTTCAGCGGTACAAAAAATCGTAAGTACCTGCTACCATTAAGGAATCCTGCATTAGATATGGATCAGATAAGTGAGATAACGGACTGTCAAACTAACCATATAGAAGCTTTTACTAATACGATAGACAAACTGTTTCAAATCATAATCGCAAACACCTTTTTCTCTCTAACCAAGAATTGAAGTTGTATACGTCGACAACATTATAGTTGTCGGTGACTTTTAATGTTTCAATCTTTATCAAAATTTATAAACGTTGTTTCAACCATCAGGGTTTCTTTGTTACTTGTTACTATATCCTCTGATGAATCCTCTTTGAAATATAGTCTACTAAATATTGTCTTTGAAACAAAAGGATTATTATTTTGGTGTTGAGGCAGTTTGCAACAGGAAAAATAACTATATCAACACGATATTTTATAATAAAAATCAACCCGCATATCATTAAAGCACATGTCTTGAAACATCATATATAAGGGGAGAATTTCATAACGTTTCGTGCAACCAATACTATCAAAACAATGACTTTCATCTAGTTCGCTAATAAACTGTCTTACTATCTTAGCCATAATAGTGGATAATAAACCAGGTTTAAAACAAAGTTTAGCTGATGAGAACCTCCACTTTTTTATGATTCTCATTTCTTTGTATAATAGCTTCCGCAGAAGGTGAGTCAATAGCCAGTTACTTTATTGTATGTGCTCGTAAAATGAGTGCAGAAAACAGTTACCCATGCAACTCTGGTGATGATTGATTCACCTCATAGCGAGTGATTTCAGCATTTATATGTCTTTAATTTATCATGCCATAAATTAAAAGATGTTTTTTATGACGCATATCGTATTAAATAATGATATTGCACCTGATATGACTTCTCTTTTCTTCCAACCCGTGGAACGAAACTGGTGAGTTCAGAACTCAAGAACTAACCATATTTCCGTGACGTACAGGTTTTCCTACGTTATAAGCAACTAGAATACACTGCCGTTAGAAGCGGTATTTTATTTGATTAATTGATACAAGATTAATGGCATTCTATTGTTGAAGCTGAAATCCAAAACTTGGATTCCAAATCTTATTGTATCTGTCTTTGATGGTTCGAAGTAATCATTTTGTTGATTATTTACTATATTTTCTATAAGTTAGTCTGCCATTGATGTTAGTAAATAGATATGAACTACTGAATTCCTTCACAGCGGTCAAATGATGCTGGCACTCCCTGCAACATCTTATGCTCCTCAATTTGGAGGCATGTTGAGTAGTAAATGGTTACTAGAGAATACCTCCAAGCTAAAACAGCTGTCTAGTGCTTCCTAGAAATCTGTGAATGCCCAGCCAATATTTTTCCATGATGTAAACTATCGTCAAAGGAAAATATTTTCCATAAAACACTAGATTAGACAAGATTTATTATAAAGAAATAATAAAATCTTCACTGAAAATGACGTTGTCTCTTTTACCATGCTCTATAAGCTTTCCAATTAGGTTTATAACAGAATTACGCCTTACATACTAAGTAAAGTAGTAAATAATCAAACCGAATATGGTCATGTCGAAAACCAAATCAATTTTCACTTCAATCTTTAAATTCTCATACGGGACCTAAAAATCTGTTTAATTAAACAATGTAATATTTAAAATGGGAGAGAAAATAGCTTGTCTCAAAAATAATTGGACCTCTTAAAGGTTACATAAATGGTCTGATCAGTTTTGTTTACTACACACGTTAATGATGATAATATTAATTTATGATATGCATTCACATGGTACAACAATATGAATAATAAACGGATACTGATTATTTAGAACTGAATAATTTCATTGAAATGATTAAATCGAAAATCGATAGTCTGATTAATTAAGAAGTCAATACTAGTACTATTACTTACAGTTTAATGGATCCAGTGGGTTTAATTTACACTGACCAAAATCATAATTCATGTTGTATGCCTTATGAACTAATTCGATACCAGCTTGACGGAGTTCAGAAGTAATTTGTTTACCGGTCCATAAATACATTTCAGATCCAAAGTCAAAAACGAATGCCTACAGTTAATTGAAAGAACAGTTTTAACAAATAAATTGATCATTTGCGAAAAATTTAAAAGTAGCCTCATCAGAAGAGGGAATATAAGCTTATATACCATAACAATAATGTGTACGTCAGTACACTTTTTCATGTATTAGTATATCTTGAAATAAGGATAATTCTAGTAAGATCTAAAAGGTAGAAAATTAGAGTAAAAGCTTGTTGTTGACCGCTTTTAAGTAAAAACTGATTCAGCTTGTATCAACGAGTAAAGAAAATAGCACTAAAAATAATGTTTTTACAATAAAACATAGAATCGGCTTAAAGACTTGTTGAATTTTGAACATTTACTTACTAATTTGTAATAAAAGACTAGTATCAGGAGGGGTTTTGTGGATATTATAGTAATCTCAATAGTTGAGATTATAAGTCAATTGCAACTAGACCACCATAGAAAACCTGGAAGCACTGGACGGCCGTTTCGTCCTATTGTGAGACTCCTTAGCAGTGCGCGTCCACGATACCACCTCGCAAGATCCGAACCCAAAACTCGCTTAACCATTAGACCACGGGGCCAGCATCCAACAGTATTAGTATTCAACCCCAACTAATCCATGAAACTGAGCGACACCTACCGGTCCTGGGTTTGAATCTCGCGAGGCGGGATCGGGGTCTTACAATAGAACGAAACGGCCATCCGGTGCTTCCAAGTTTATTTCATGATGGTCTAGCTTCAATTAACTCATGATCTCAAGCAATCAAATAAGAGATTAATAAATGGTTAGTTTTAAATTTGAACCTACATACTAGTCAACTGATAAATTAGACTGAACTAACAATCTTTAATCAAAATTTCAACAGTATAAAATGGGTATTCTGTATTACATTGTTAATCACTCTGTTTAAATCTTAGTTAACCTTCAATTTGCTTTTTTTTAACTGTTAGGCATTTTGATAAGAGACTAGGAGTCCATACAATTTACTGAAATTAAAATACAGGAGACAGTATTATCTTAATACTTTTGAACATAGTACTAACAATTCACAATCATTAAAATATCAAATATAAAATTATATAGATAGAATGTGTATTGAATTGGATGAATGTAAATAAAAATTTCGAAGAACAACACAGATCACGTGTAACACATGGTTAATATAATCGATTTTTATCTGAAATAGAACATTTGAATTGATTTATTTCTTGCACATTTTATATGTGCAATACAACTTTTGGTAAAAGTGCAATTTTACAAAATGTTGATTTATATATATGTATATAACAAAACATTACAACCAGTGGTAAATGAAGGGTATCAGTGATAATCAACTTGTTTTGCCAGTGATATAAAAACATGTAGCTTATATATTATTTAATTGTAAATTGATGTTTTTCTTTGAAAGTGTTTTGTTGTTGAAATATTACAAAGTTTTAAGCTATACCATGTTATGAGGTATTATTTCATGTTGAGGGTATCTTTTTTGATGGATTTCTGTTCTCTGAGCTGGATGGTTTGGTCGTGGAGCTTTTATCGTTCTTCTGAACGACATCATCAACGTTCAGAAGAATGATGAAAGCTCCACGACCAAACCATCCAGCTCAGAGAACAGAAATCCATCAAAATCATCCACCTGAACTACAAATCTTCTCCATCATCTGAAGGTATCTTTCTTTACCTATACGTGCGATACATGAAATGTATGACAAAAAAAACATTTATTGAAGTCGTAGGCTATTGAGTAAAAGACATATTTGTTCATTGAATAAATGTTATAAATAACATTGAAGTGAAAGAAACAAGTTTCAATGATTTTTAACACTCATCACTTGAAGGCACCAAACGATTAAGTCAGTAAGAACAAAATACATGAAATACACAATACCACTAGATCTAAATATTGAACTTTAAGAATCTGATAGATTAATCATTCACATAAATATTTAATATACTGGACGTAAATGAATGACCACTGGTTAATTTTTCTTGATTATAAGCTTTGTTTACAGTCAAGCTTTTGTTGATATATAGTGAAATCGTATGCATAGTTAAGATTCACCTAAACATAACTTGAAATATTTGATCACTCTTAACAATAATCTGTCGTAAACGATGTAAACAAACAGATACATCATGAGTGTAGAATTTTTCTAGGAAAACTGTAAAGTGTTTAATTTGTTTATTACATTCTTATTTGCTTTTTATGATACTTTTGATAACACAATTCACGATCATTTTGTTAAAAAAGTGACCTTTCAGAGTAGTGTATAGACAATTGATATCTTTGTGAGGAAACTGTAAGCAATAACAACTGTAGCAGTTACACTTTTAAAACCCTTAAAGAGTTTATACACTGTATTACATTTGATTACAAGTCTATTATTGGCAAAAACATCGTTGAATATTAATCGTTAAATCTATAGTATATTAATTAATTCATAAACAAACCTGATCTGATTGTAAGATATGATATTTCACTGGGTTGCCCCAACACTCTTCACATGGTATTAAGCCATCTAAAGTAACACGATACACACGATTAGTGTGCTGAATCATTAGTTCATAGCGTTCGTCTTCTTCAGGTGGTCCAGCGTCTAATAGGATATAATTTTTGAAACAGAAAAAATCACTTAGTTGTAGCAACAACTTTTATATTTTACTTTTCTGCAACACAACGATAACTTAATTGACTGATTTAAGAAATATGAGGTAAGATCATATTCTAGTAATGAATAACCATTGTCATAATAGTTAGTCTAGTGCTTAATTACGACTGAATAGAATCTATTAAATAAATTGTAAGACTGAGTTAGATCGTTTTGAATGTTACGATAAGCATCGATTCCTAAGAGAACTGTGGATATGTCTCGTTGACGAGCTCCAGCTAGCATCAACTTTTACATCAAGACTTCTTGCCTGTTGTCCATGTTTAATCTTCCATTTTTGTTTCAAAACTAAAAAAGATGCTTTTGGAATATTATAGTTATCAGTTGCTTATTCTCATATTAGAAAGTCATCTTCAAGAAAGTATATGATTAACATATCTACATACATATTTAGACAAAATCTCTTCATATGGTTTTGTGCTACATTAGGATGACATATAGACATTCAACATCAGTTATTTAGTTATTGAATAGCTCCCAAAGTAAACTATTGTTTATCGAGTGATATTTCTTTTATATATTTATATCATTAGTTGACATCCATTTGTAGAAGTTAATACTTAACGATGGTTTTGGTAATATTTATTCAAAAACTCAATTTATTTCCCATTTTATAAATTCTACATCACATTATGATGTTAAGTTGGACTAAATTCCATTATTAATAATGTATATAAAACTCTTTATGAATCTGGACAGTTGTAGATGAATCCGATACAGATAATTAGTTCGTTTAGACAATTTACCATTTCATAATGAACGCAATTGAGACATTTTCTCTATCACCAGAGATCAATGAAGCTTATTTAAGACGTTTTTCTAGTTTTCCTCTTAATTTAACTATCAATCATTAATATTCGGTCTGCTTGAATACCTTTTCCTGCCGTCTAAATATTTCAACAAGTTGTCTGTTTCCTTGTTTGCTTTAAAAGTTCATTATGTGAATTAATTGCATAAACTATTCAGGTGCGTTTGTGAAAAGTTTACGACTTTTCGTTATACAAGTTACAAAAATGCACAATCGGAGACATCTTGATGGCTGACAATATGAGTTGAAAAGAATGAATATTATTCAGATGGTGACTTCTGAAATGCTAATTTCTAGTTGGCGATCACTCAATAGTTATCGTCAGTATCGATCAAGAAATAAGAAACAGAAACTCACCGTAATACTTTGGGCTGAGAATTTTATATTGAATAAGAAAGAAAGATTAGTTCAGCGAAGAGTTCTCTTTTCGGCGAATTCATTTTCAAAGCTGTACAATCGCAAATATATATACTTATTTTTACAGGGTGATAATAATACTGATAATAAACTTATGTTATACATGGTGACAGTGAGGTTAAATAAACAAAGGTATTAGAAAAATGTTTTAAAATAAGGAAAGTTTGATAGTTAATGGCTTAGATATTCATCGGGTAAGGGTAGCTCAGCATGATAAAATAACATAAAATGTTGAAACAGAGATGAAATATAATCGGAATGACCTATATACCTAGCTCCACAAGAGCAGGTCGTTCGATGCGTACTTTATCCAAAGGAATTCAAGAACATTGTCCGGCGTGGCTAAGAAGAGGAGGCAGCGGCTCAATAAGAAGTTCTATAATCGAACACCTTGTGAACACAAGTCACTCAATCAAGACAGACTCTGCGTTCAAGGTCATCTACAAGGTAAGTAGAAGCCTTCCTAAGACAATTAGACTGCATCTTCTTTGCATTGCCGAGGCAATAGCCATACATTTTGAAAAACAAGAATTATGTGTACAAAAGAGACTGATACAACCTCTTCTTTTACCATGGTCTTAATGTATTGAAAAATCTTTCTCATTACTCTTGTTCTTTGACAGCCACCTGCTTCACCTTCCATCTTCCCTTCAAATCTTATACCCCCAACCGGTTTGTTTTTATTTCCACGATCATTCCGATTATATTTCATCTCTGTTTCAACATTTTATGTTATTTTATCATGCTGAGCTACCCTTACCCGATGAATATCTAAGCCATTAACTATCAAACTTTCCTTATTTTAAAACATTTTTCTAATACCTTTGTTTATTTAACCTCACTGTCACCATGTATAACATAAGTTTATTATCAGTATTATTATCACCCTGTAAAAATAAGTATATATATTTGCGATTGTACAGCTTTGAAAATGAATTCGCCGAAAAGAGAACTCTTCGCTGAACTAATCTTTCTTTCTTATTTAATTTTATATTGTACCAAAAATATAGAGCTAATAACAGTTCATTTGAATCGGACTATTAAAATGTCAGAAAATCATCAATTAAAGGGACTAAAAATAATTTATTAGTCTCATAACTTACGATGAACCATTTGTGGTGAATTATAACCTAGAGCTTTCCAAAACTTTAAAGCTGAAGAATAGTGCTGATTAGAACTACCAGTTGTGTTATTTTGATTCTCATTATCCAAACAGCCAGCAACATTGTAAGAATCAGTATTTTCATGTATTGCAATATAACCATCACCGAAATTTTGTGCTGCTTCACCTAAATTCCCAGTATATGACAATTCATGCTTTTTGTGAATCCATGATGCTAACTCTCGAGTTTTATTCACTTCAACAATATTGGCGGATTCACCAAACCAAGCGAATACTGAGTCATTTGTGATAAGAATAAAACAGTCACCGGAATTCATAGATTTGGCTGAAGGGGCAACTAAACGAACTTGAACATGACGTCGACCTTTAGTATATAAACAGTATAAGTGAGAAAGAGCAGTATAAAATCTCTTATTATTGTCTGATTATATGTACAAGCATTTTTATTATATGACATAGGTGAAATCTTTATGTTATAAAATACAAGTACAAAATTCAGTTTGCCAGACTGAAAATTTTGTGTATGATGCGAAACTCTGCTCGTACTGGAGACTAACAGTTAGAAGTCATATAGCTTTGACCTTACTTGTTAGGATTTATCGGCAAGGACGATATGTGGCTTCCAGAAACGTCATTTCTGTAAAGTGTCAAGATTCATTCCATTTAGATTATGACTCAAATATCTTAGTTTTAATTGCAACTAATTTAACATATAATCAGATGTATTCAAAAAAGAGTGGCCAAATAGTTTTTATTGATTACATTTCGGTTCTCAGTTAATCAGCTTGCATACGATATTCTGTTTTGAAATTGATGTTTACTAAGAGGTGGTCACACGTTGGTATATATTTGAAGTAAAACTGACCGTATTCTTTTAATAGCGAATCGATTTTAGTTCTGAATGCTTTTGATGAAATTCAAAATCATCTGTTCTGATATTGACAAATGTTATGCATAGGTACTTCTCGGATGCTATGATGTCAAAAATGTTCTAAAACTTCCTTGATTTCAGATCATGTAATTGTTTGATGAAAATAGACTAAACAATGAACGACAGAGCTTGCCGGAGACAATTACTACGTTCACATACTTTAAAGAAGTATTATAAATTAAGCAAGTTTAAACGATTAGTAAATAAGTATCTACAAATCCAGTTAAATATTGAGAAGAAAGGAAATTATGATTGCTTAACTAATCTTAGAGAAAAGACCTGTCATTTTTATTAATAACAACATCTGAACAATGTATGGCAAAGAGTAATCTAAAAAAAATTTGTCTTCATTCTTGAAGATATTACAAATGTAGTAAATCTTTCATAAGTTTCCATCTTTCCAGTTTATAAATTACCTGTAACATTTAGAGACCATGCTACTGTCAAACTTCAGCTTAATTGCTAGATTCACATTATTAAAGTTTCAAATGATTAATAATAAAGTGTGAGTATTTTGCTACAAACTACTAATTTTTCCGTTTAACCATTCCTATAGCACTTTGACTGAGTTACAGCAGGTATCGATAATGTACACTGACCTTTGATATGCAACAACATGATTGGTTTGTAAGGTAAAAGTTGTCTTTGGGTTGAAGAGTTACGAAGAGATTGTCCTTCTTGGACTGAACGTAGATTACCTTTGGCCTCATTTATGTCCTCAGAGCATGCGAGACCAGCTTTAGCTGAATCGGCTAGAATTGAGTTTTTTGCAGCAAAATCTGAAAGTCAGTAAAATAGGGACAAAGTTGTTAAAAGATAAATGATTTTCTAATAAGTAAATACCACTTGTTTACAGTTGAATCGTATTTAGTAAAATAAAAGTCTACACAGTTGATTGACTAATTAATAAGATTAATTCAAGAATAAGGAATACACGTTTTATGTTTTACTAGTAAGATACGTGTTGATCGTCCATCGTTAATAAGTAGTTCTTAATGCAAGAAAAGGCTCACAACAGAATTTGATATCACTTTATCAATGATTAATTATCTTTCAGTATTTCCATGACTTGTTAGAAAGTATTAAAAATCCTTAGATTTCTGTGTTATAAGTAGTTAGTTAGGACATGTAAACTAGTTAGAATAATCATCACACATTTTGACTTCAACATTTCTGATGGTCCTATCAACTTATTGAAGGGTTTTAATATTTACTGTAACAGTATATATACTAAGTATCATGTTAAACGATTCATACGGCTTAAACCACTTGAACTTCTGGGAAATTAAGGTTGTACTAAAATAGTTTTGAAGTGGCCCGAACAGGTTTGAATATCTTTTAGCAAAAGCCCCAGAAATTCGTCACGTTTAATGCACTAGTTGTATTTTTAATGAAACTCAGAAGAAAGAACCAGTTAATCATGTATTAAGTCCGCCAATAATTAGTCCGAATTATATGATTTTAGTACAACACAGTATTTGACTACTATATCGAAATGCAAACTAACTTTTTAATTATGAAAATAGGTTAACGATTGCATCGGATTCATATTCACTTCCTAGTTATAACACTATTCATGACTACACAAAAGTTGATAACAAAATCATTCATAGATAAAAGTACGTACAGATATTAAGTGTACATATGTTTCATAAGTATCAGTTTCTACATTGTCTAGTCTTCCGATTTTCACCAATTTGAATTATATGTGTAGTAATAACTACTACTAATCTGATGGCCTCTTCAAGGTATTGACTAACTTAATTTGAAATATGGACAGCAGACAACTTCACGGAGTTCTAGTGAGAAGCCGTGACCAGTGTTGCTAATCCGTGTCGGGTAGAGACCGGTATCTACCTTGTTATAATGGAAGATGGTCGCGCAATTTCATAGATTGGTTGAGGTTCGACAGTAAAACCATTGGATGCCGGCTCAATGGTCCAGTAGGCCAAGGGTTCACGCGCGAGACTGAAGGCCCATGGTTCGAATCCCATGAGCAGGATCGTGGATCACACTGCTAAGGTGTCCCACAATAGGACGAAACGGTCGTTCAGTGCTTCCAGGTTTTCACTGATGGTCTAACATCAATCGGCTCATGATCTCAATCAAACACCCAGTAATCTCCACAACCTGTATACTGGTAGATAACTTTTGGTTATATCAATAAATAAACATTATTTCATCCATATGTATGTATAATGTGATAAGAATTAAGTAAAAACACTTGTTTTTTTATAACATTTCTCCTGTTATACTTTGCTTAAATAGATTGGTTCAGTTATTAAATTACATCAAGTTATTGATTGCATCTGTTGCCTATAGTGAGCCTAATGTCAGGTTTTAGTGACTTCAATAAGAGTATATTTGTGTGTTCTATGCATTTTTATCTAACTGACATTTGATTGCATCAAAATATGCAGGCTAACTGTATTAATTTCTTGGTCGATAATGCAAATTGTTCAATATGTTCAACAAACAATAAACAGTATAAAAACTAGATCATATTCCTTATTGAACCAAAAACAAAAGATAAATGAGCATATTTCATCTTTTTTTTGACATATAAAAAAATCAGATTACTTTAGTAAAAGATACTTTGTTTATGAGACATTATCTAAACATCAACATTATAGTGAAATAATACAGTAAGTTAAGCTGAATTGTTCATTTTTCTTTTGTTAAACACTTATTTCTTCAATTTTATTTATCTAATGTAAACAAAACTAAAGTGGATTCTTGTAGAAACGTATGAGAACTTTTCAGTTTCTAAGTTTTTTATCTAGTTAAAACGAGTTCTATTTCTTTCTGGAAGTGATTGTTTAACTTTAGTTCTTAAATTGCCATTCCTATAGCCTTGAAGTTATCATAAACTTTTATTAACTATTGACATGCATACGCCCAGGACAAGGTGGGTTTGAGAATGCTGGTCGGCGGCTTATGCTCCATTTGGAGTAACAGGCGTAAGTAAGTAGTAAGTAAGATATTCATATGTTTTCTGTGTTTCTTCCCTCAAATTAATTTAACCGAAAACAACTTAGAAGTAACTTAGTCACAAGTCAGTCAAATCAAATTAGGACTGGATAAACACATGAGAGGCAGTTAAATTTGACACAACAAATTAACCCAGTGATATAAAGTTATCAACACAAAGCTCAAAATAGTAGAAGTAGTAATATGGTGTAGTGTGTGCTATTGATGTCGACAGATATATAAAGTATGTATCATCAATAGGAAGTGAAATATATGACAGTAACAGGTCAAGAAGATCGAAGAAAACATAACGGGAACCGAGAATGATCGGTGTGGAAACAATGAAGTCTAAGACAATTGATAGACATTTTTCAAATGAAGTATTTACTGTATAGTTCTCAGATTTTACTAAGAGATTCTGTAATTTAGTGTCCGAACACATTTGGTTGTGCCCATCCATGTGCTTGTTCACGACAATAATAATGTCAGCAGTAGTAGAAAGACTAATTTTTGTAAGAAGAAAAAAAATGTTTACAGTAGGTGTACGAGAAAGTTAACACACTACATATAAATTCGTATTTCAGATTGGAAACACAAAGTAAAGTGTACCTTCTTTGATTTCTGGTGGCTGGATCTAGAGAAACGGACTTTATTAACATCTAAAAATGGCTTAGCAAACTAATAGTGTATAGACCAGAACAATTCATATATGTCCTGAATTTGAAAAAAAAGTAAACTTTAACGTATTGTATGTTTTAGCACTGGAATATGTTACAACTATTTAGTAATTACGTTCCATTGAATAAGCATATTTAACTAAAATATCAATAAATAATATGGTTATTATTCTGCAAAAAGTAATTTACCTAGGTCAGTTCTAACAGATGGATCCACTGTACGTAATAATGTTTTAAACGGTGTGATATGTTTACCAGATTCTTGGTCTGTTGAAATAGCTTCCAAAGGTGTACGAATTTCTTCATAGTTCGATTTTATGTTTTCTCTCTGTTCTAAAGCTTTTAAAGGATTTTTTAAGTCCCGTGGAGGTTTACGTTTTTCTGGTCTAGCAGCACGTCGTGCATCAGCTATCCTTTAAAAATACAATTGAATATAAATTTAAAACGTCATTGTATGTTTCATTTGTAAATATGGAACATATTTTTCTTAAATATTTGGATATTCCATATTATAGATTTATGATTAAGCCTTATCGTTTTCATCTATTTCTGCATTATAATGAAATGTGACTGGCGAAAATCTGACATATAGTCAAGGCTAATAGATTAATAATGTAAGCGTAACTCTCTCTTCATTAGTAGTTAATGGTCAAATTTTTCCAGTCAATCAAAGGTTCAATATACGTTATTAACCGTAATGATGATAATAATAAGTAGTTAACAGTAAGTGTCATGATAAAACATTAATTATATTTTTGTTAAATATTACAATCTCTTACCTTTCATACACTTTGTTTAAATCTTTATTTGGTTGCGAAGGCAAAGTCGGAAGCTTAACTGGTCCAACTGCACTAGTTGTTTCTATAGTCGTTTTGCTGGTGAAGAAATCTGTTAATTCTTTATCTTCCATAGTAGGTACGCTAACATTTTTGGATATATGAAATGCCTTAAAAAGTAAAATGACATCATGCTTAAAATATGGTATGGTCATGAAGTAAAACATAAGTACATAAATTCCAGGTTGCTTTATTTGTGTTTAACTTCTCTGTATCATGATTTAAACTGTTCACCTTGATCAAACAGTTTTAAGTTTTGTTCTTATAATTTCGAGGAAAATTTTCAACAAATGAACAATATTCCGTACTAGATAAATAATAAATTTTTAATATCCCGATGAGTAGAAAAATTAGATTTTCTGACGTTTCGTGACTTAGTGTAAGCTACTTCTTCAGAGAATAAATAACTAAATCGAAATTAATCCAAGTTTAAATAGTGATAAATGTGATCAATCAAAAAACAGGTCTGAATAAATCAATGTCATGTCATTTCGGTCAAGGTGATTCATAAGCGAGATGTATGCAAATTCGTGTATATGTAAGTGTGCTCTGTTAAGGATGAAAAATATGTGACCTTTATGGTGAGAAAGGATCGAGTTTAATTTGTTCCGTATTGTTACGGTTTATATTATAGGCCAACATCAACAAGTGTACTTGATAATTGAAAGCGAAAATTACTTTCTAAATAAAGTCAGTTGACTAGCTAATTATTGACGTTATTCAGCAGTAAAAATGTGTAACCATCAAAGTGATAAATGGGATAAGAAGAGAAAATCTCACCTGTCTAACAAGTGGGCTTGGCTTCGTTATGGTAATAGGTTTATTGATGGGATCGGCTGTCGTAAATGATTCTTGATGTTTGACTTCTTCAAAAAGATAAAATTAACATTCCACGTAAATTCAGATACAGGAATAATATTTACTAGCAATAAGTTTTCCAACATAAAGTTTGTTGAAGAGAAATTATGAAATACAGGTTATAAATATTTCACTGTATGAAGTAGGGCTATTATTAGATCTCATCCGATGTTCAGTATACACTTACAGAACATTCAAGACAATATAAATGAATATAATGGGGTCAAATCTATAATACGGACCAGGAAACTAACAATAGGCAGTTCTACTAATGTGCAATCTGGTGTCTTCCTACATGTTAGGTGATTAGATCCAACTTGCAAGAAGCCCTCAACCTAGATCTTACAATAACTGATACTTATTACTGGGTATATTTGGGATCTGAACAGAATGAATGCTATCCAGCGAGTTCAAACCTGTAGCAAGGCCAAAGATATTATCACTGAGCTATTCAAGGAGTTTTCCATATACTTCAGAAAAATCCTGGTTGCTGTACTAAATTAGTGGAGAATCCTATCAGGCAATACAAAAATTTATGTTTGATTAAGTGACAGATGTTAAGTATGTATAGTACAACGTTTGTATATTCATATCAAACATCATCAGTTCCAAACATTATTTTACATAGTCTCTTAAATTATAACGGGAAAGAATTAGTTTAAGCCTATAATTTCCACATTTAATGTGATTTCATAAAAGGGACAATTTAATTTGTAATAATGTACCATTTCGTCAATTATTGCACGTATTCAGTAATTTGGTCATCGAAAATTTCGGAAATATTTTTATGATTGAGTAAAATCTCCATAGAATAATTGATTACAGAATATAACCAGTAAAGTTTCATATTCACAAATCGCTAATACATCCACTTAATTGTTAGGGTTCCTCTCAAACTTTTCTAACAGATTAAAAGTTAATGGAATAAATAAATAGAAATTGTCACATTCTTACTCCCCCTCATCATCATCATCATCATTGTAAGATAAATTTAAAGTGAAATTTCAATTATTTCTCAGATGCATTTAATTAGTTCAGATAAGCAATATAGCCAGTGTCTCATCAGTGGCTAGTTTCAAATTGTAACTGAAGTAACATAACATTAGGTAATACGAATATTCGTCAGTATTCTAACGAATAGTTTGATTAAAATTGAGCGCTGAGTATAGAAAAGTCATTATATATGAAAATTGTATTTGAAATAATCTCAGTTATTGTAATTTAAAATAATTCCGACGTTTCGTCTAGTAAACTTGTCCAGACTTCTTCAGAGTACTAATCATAATTATTATACGCTATATATTTTTGTTTGATGATTTTGAATATTACCCTGAAGAAGTTCAGACAAGTTTTCTGGATGAAACGTTGAAATTATTGCTGAGATTATTTCAAATATAATTTTCACATATAATGATAATATTAGTTAATTAATTAGCATAATCTATTATTGGTCTCCAGAATTAAACATGGCCAGTTTTCTTATAAAAGAATTATTTTATAATATCACTTCTATGATCAATTCCTGATGAAATTCTTCGACAGTTACGGCCGATTCAAAACCCAGGTAAAAGAAGAGGGTTGGGCATGGAGTTAAAAAAAACTGTAAATAAGGAAAGTTATTTTAGACGGTTCTATGGCCAGTCGACTTATTAGTAATAACAAACTGATAATTTTAAAATTTTAAATGGCTTATAAAACTATCAGTCTAAAAATACCGAGTTATTATAACTTGCTTCTTTCAAATTTTACCAAGAATTATAATTTTACAGTAAATAGCAAGTCATATAGTTGCAATTAATTTTATCTCCTTAAAAGTAATACTACTTACTATTTAATTAACAAACATTTTACATTGAGAATGGGTTTGTCTGATTAATGTTTAAGTTTTATTAAGTTCTGAAAGATTTACCGCCTTTCTTCATCTTGAAGTTGACATGTGAAGCGACCAATAAATTAATCTTGTTATATTTTTTGCATTTGAAAAGATTATCACGAAAATGTATCTATCTAGTGAACATTGTTAGTTTTGAATTTGTGCTGAATTGCCACTTTCACTGACTACATCAAATGATTGAGATCATGAACCGATTGATGTTAGACCACCTTTGGAAACCCCGTTCGCGCGAGACCGAAGGCCCTGGGTTCGAATCCTGCGAGCAGGATCGTGGATGCTCACTGCTGGGGAGTCTCACAATAGGACGAAATGGCCATCTAGTGCTTCCAGGTTTCCAAAGGTGGTCTAGCTTCAATTGACTCATGATTTCAACTGCTGAAACATATATTTAACAACTCTCCTTTTTATTAAGAACATAAATCATAGTAAAATACATTGAATCCGCTCAATTTTTGTGTACACTGAACTAGCCATAAATGTTCATAAATTTTATGGATAAGTTGTGCTCATTACTGGCTGGTTTCAAAAATAAGTTACGAAATTCTAGACAGAAGTCGTGTTTGACTGTGTTCAACCAGTACTGGAATAAGACAGACATCACCAATAAAAATTGACAACGGTTGAGTGATATATCTAAATTATAGCTTAAATTGAAAAGGTAAACTATTCAATTATGCATTAGTAATTTGTTAATACTAATAATAAGACTTAAAACCACTTATTCGATTCTTTAAAGAGACATAGGTGTGAAAAATAGCAAAATTAGAACAGTATCCTTTCAATTTTTTAATGGCTCACTAGCTGATACCAGTTTGTGTACACTTGTACGTCATCTGATCTAAATGATTATGAACCCTTTTCACAACCAAACAAGTTCGATTTATCAAAATATATTTTTGTTGGAAACGATTATGACGTCATAAGACACAAATTTGTGTTACCATGTTATTTGAAAATATGGAAATTTGTAATAATTAGAAGAAAATACAGACGTGAAGTAATCATGATGGTTATAATAAATATTGTTAACAGCTTTCATGTATGTGTTTTATGGCTGATGGCATCACGAATTCATTGGCTTATTCTAGTTCTATTTATATAACATTCTTATACTTGTAGAAAGTGTTTATTTAGCTTTATCAATAAACCGAATTCATTTATACACTTTCCTCCCATAAACTACTTTTACTAAACATCTAATTTATAAAGTTATTAGAAGACGCCAAATGATAATTATTTACTTTTGAAACATTTGATTCTAGGAACTAACCCTATGAAAATTACAGACCGGATTCATGAATTTCAATTTCAGTTAACTGCTTCAAAACGTCTGTTTTTTTAATTATTTATAGAATTTCATCTTGTAATTGAGTTTAATATTCTAATATGTAACACTATTGAATAGTTCACCTAACAAGTAACTAATGAAAGTATATGTTGTCGGAACTAAAAGAATAAGATTAAGTTAAAAAGTTTACTATTCCATACAATTGTACTGAATTTAACCGTGGCCTCTGGGAAAATTCAAGCTTTGTATTTAAAAGATAAAGTTTTCTTATATCTTTACCAGTACAAATCAATAACGTTTGTCATTACAATTTAATAAATTAATTGAAATGCTCCAGTAGGACCGATTCATAACGAATAAAGGTATCTTGTTCTTTGAATACATATCAGATAATTGAAGAATTTCTCATTTATAACTAGCTGATGTTACTCAGAGAGTAAATAACAGTTAAATCCTTTTTATAATTAGTAATATCTTACATTATTTACTAAAACTGGTGAAATTCAAAATTCTAGCATGAGTGTCAAAATCAAAACTCATTACTTGGTGCTAACAAACACAAACATCTGGTTCATCTTTCCTTCCTTCTTATTAAACTGTAAGTTAAACGGATTATAAGCATAATTGTTCAAAGTCTCAGGTTTCACCAACATCAACAATATCAAGTTGTTATTACAATAAGTCACGTTCTATTTCTAACTGACAGCTTTATTGCATTAATTAATTCGTAAATTATTTTATTATTTCATTAGTAAATAAAAAAATTATCATTTACCTGAACGATTTTCTTTGCTAGTATTGCGTATTATTGGTTCAACTGGTAAACATTTCGATGTGTTTGTTGTTAGATCTTGTGAATGAGGACATTTCGATGGAAGAGGTTCTAGACTAGTATAGTCATTTGCTACAAGGACAGAAGAATAAAATCTGAGATTATAGTTAAACGTTCTAGTAATTGCAATATTGATCTATAAAGAAATTAGATGATGAAAAGTGAATGGATATAAACTGTTTAAACTTAGCTCCCCAATTAGTTTATACTCATTCATTCATGTAAAACATTGGGCAAACTATCTAAAAATTACTTTTGATCAAAATTTTCAGTATATTTAGATTGTGAGCTGCAAAGGAATCCAAGTTATATTTTTCGTCTTATCGTAGACTTCTCAATTTAATGTAAATGCTTCCTAGTGTTGATCATCACAACGACACTCAAACCCAGTGTCCATCACATCAGATACCAATGCACTAGTAGCAACATATATTAGGAGCGAGTCTTAGTAGGTACAACCAGCTGATGAGTCTTGGATTTCACTGCTGGTCATAATCCGGATCCACTGAAACTACAAGTTAATTTAAATATATAATCAACAGTATGAACAGCCTTTTTTATAAATAATTATATTCTCTACATCTTCTGATTAACATTTAAGTTATCGATCTGAAATTCTAAAATTCATTGATCATAATCAGAATGGGGTTTTTTGTGTAGATTGTAGTAATTTAATTAGTTAAATTCATGAGTCGATTTAAGAAAGATCACCATTGAAAATCGGGAAGCATTGGATGGCATTTCATAGTTTAGCACTCACTTTTAAACTGCTAATCACTTTTTTTGTTAAAAGTACCCCAACAAATAGAATGAATAGATATCACAAAATGGTATATCATTCTAACAACAGATACATTTCCTTATATTGAAACATACGTTTATGTATCTAACATGTTTAGTAAAGATATAACGGGAAATCTTAATTAATTATGAATTAATTTTGCATTCTGTAGGGATGGTCCACAGGTGGACTCGACGAAGCTCAAAAAGCTCCGAAAGAGCCGGAAACATTCCATTCGATCATACCTTGAAAAAATACTTCAGAATCTCTACGTATATCTTCCCTACTGGACAAATGCTAAAGATACCTGTATGCGGATTGGATGAGCATAATGATGATTTCGTTTTTACTATAAATACGAATAATACCTGAGAGGTTTGTACCATATTTAACACTATTTGGAATAACATTCTTTCCATTTATCTTCAGTCTTCTCATTCGAGACTTGGAGGGTTCTAGTGTTCGAGTGCTCAAGTTGTACGCGTTATATCAAGAGTCTAATCTCTAGATATAATACACTGAATCATAAATAAATTGTCTCTAACCACCATCGTTACAAATCAGGCAGAAAAAACCTGTAATTTTTGGATATAAATTATTATGGTCATAAATATCATACAATTTAATTATTTTTTGACAGCATTAATAATTCATGAATATCTAAAAAACTACAAGGCCTCGATTAAAATATCTTACATTTCAGTAGTTTTCACACAATCAAATATGGTATCAACTGACTTTTATATGGAAGTAATCAAATAAAGGTTATGAATTCCATTCATATAATACATAACTAAAGAGCAACCCAAGATCTTAGAAAAGTTTTTAAAGTATTTTATAATACTGTGTTAGATTGTATCCCAAAAACACTAATGTAACCATAATTATTTAATTGTGAATAAATTCAGGCACTTTTAGATTGAGATTGATGTTAGACCACCACTGAAAACCTGGAAGCGCTGGAATTCTCGGAGTTCTAGTGAGAAGCCGTGACCAGTGTAGCTAATTCGTGTCGGGTAGAGACAGGTATCCATCTCCTTATAATGGAAGATGGTCGCGCAACCTCATGGACTGGTTGAGGTTAGACATTGAAACCACTAGATGCTGGTTCAGTAGTACAGTATGTTGAGCGTTCACGCGTGAGACTGAAGGCCCATGGTTCGAATCCCATGAGCGGGATCGTGGATGCACACTGCTAAGGTGTCCCACAGTAGGATGAAACGGCCGTTCAGTGCTTCCAGGTTTTCACTGGTGGCCTAACATCAATCGGTTCATGATCTCAATCAAAAACCTAATAATCTCCACAACCCCTATTCAAACACTTATTTGTTAAATCCATAACGTTTATATTAAAACTGATGACAGTCGTTTTAATTTAATCCTCATATAAGCTAAAAATATCATTGAAAAGTTAACTAACTCAAGAATGTCAAGTTTTGGAATAATTCAATTATTATTCTTTGAAAAAGTGCACTGAACACTTTGTTTCAACTTTAGTCAACTCAACTACTTAACTTTAAAGAGATTTTTTCTAAAAGTAGTATGTCATAAATTATTAGAAAGACTTCAACTTGATATCTTTCAAATAATTTGTTTCTAATTGACTGTTATCATTTTAATTTTAACATAAGTATTTGAATATGTTACATTGTTATGTGAACCGGGTTGAGCGTTAATAAAATAGATTTGAAGTCAATTATTTATGAATGGACTAATAAGCAAAGCTAAGAATGTCCTATAGTTAGTCACTTGCTTCAATCTAGTTGATTTAGTCACTATGATATATGTGTATTTTTCACTCCTAAATATGAATATTCAACGTATTAATTGCGTATTTTACTAAGAAGTAATGAATCAATAAGCACATACTATTTATGTGCTTATAAAAGTAGTGATTCAGTATGCATGTAAATATGTAAACTAACTTTCTAATCTCTTAACAAAATTTAAAAATTAATCATATCAGTAGTAATTTTAATAACAATATCAAAATCAGAATCTTCGATACGAACGTCAAGATAGTTTTACTGTACGGAGCTGAAACTTGGAGAACTACTACAACCATCAACAAAAAGGTACAAGTATTTATAGACAATTGTCTGCGTAGGATACTGAATGTTCGTTGGCCTGATACCATCCGCAAAAGTCAACTATGTGAGAGAACAAATTAGCTCCCAGATGAAGAGGAGACAACTGGAAGGATTGTTCAGGTCAGAGTTTGATGAAGAGTGTTGATGGGCGATATATGCTCCTCCGTGACGGGTAATAGGTTCAAGTAAGTAAGTAAGTAATTTTAATATGAATAAAGCACAATGCAAATCGAAAATATTGGAAATGAATTCGCTGGAAAGAGAACTCTTTGCTGAAACAATCTTTCTTATTGAATGTATCAATGGGTGTATTCCGTTTACTAAGGAATATTCCTTACAAGACAGTTTGTAAACTTTTATCAATCAAATACCAAGGCAACTTATTTATGAATGAGTTAATTAACGCAACTAATGCAGTTATGACCTAAGGATAAAAATCATATCTGTTTATTATATGGTTAGTAATTTCTCTTTAGATTACATGTAGGACACGCCCATTTGACTCACTTAAATCACTTCAACAACACATTATACATTATTCATCATGAAAATGATATTAGAAAATTTGGAAAATAAATAAGTTGGAAATATCTTGCTGACCTTATGTTTATTTAAAAACAAATACGTTCATAAAGCACATTGGTCATATTAGTAGATACTTTTATTTGAAATTTAAAATAATTTCCTTACAATTGGTTGATCACTAGATAGTGACCAATCTGATGAACATCATGTCGTTCTTAGTGTTGATCGAATTCTATCGATCAAGTTGTGATATGGCCGTTAGTCTAAGTGACTCGACATCGCGTGCACCATATAGAGATGCAAAGTGCTGGTTAGAGGTAGTTAACAGAAAACGCTGGACCTGAGTTTTCTTCTATTTGGCAGTTGTCTGCAAGATATACCTGTAATCTTGAGAAAACTGATGCTCTTTGATGGATTTAACCCGTGTCACACATCTTCACAGTCAGAGATGTTGCCACTGATTTCAAGCCACCTAGACCAGTAGCTCCACTGTGACCTAATAGATAGATTTTGATCAGCGCAAAGAATTTAGCATACACGACATTGGTCAATGATCAATGATCGGTCAATTGCATCTCAGTTTTAAATTTCAGTCGTCTCCCAAATACCTCAGTAGTGCCGTTTCTGACTGTGAAGCTCCATAACCGAATTTCCTAATAGTTTGAATCTCTGAACAGCAACGGGTATCTACAATTTTCAGGGGATCAATATTTAGTATTGGATTCTTACTATCATCAGCTGGTGTCATAATCAAAGGATCTATTAACAAACTATTCATGTTTTGTATAACCTGGTGTAGGACTAAAATGGAATTCAGTCAGTACTAAGCACCATTCAACATAACAATAGTTACTAATTCAAATACATAATTAATTGACTAAACTAAAATGTATGGTTCTATTTGTCGTACCATTTTTAGGTATTGTGTTATTCTATTGAAATTTATTCTTTTTAAGAGTAAAATTTGAATACAGAATAAAATAAATCACATTGTATTACACACACTAACTTTTTTTATTTCGTTCAAATATTGGAAAATCATAATCATTTTTATAATCAACACGTTGTTTCCAAGATTCTTGTTTCTCAACTAATGATAATCGAATTTTATTGAGATCACATGATCTATCTACATTTGGTTCTTCTTTTTCAACGCGCTCTCTCCAATTTAAAGTATTCTGTTGAATACAAGCAATCCTGTTTAAGTGGTTAAAATGATAGGAAAGAAAGATTTTTTAAAAATGTATCGTCAGTATTACGATGGAAATATAATAATAGTTTTTTTTACACAAAATCATAATGTATTAGGTAAATTAAGTAAACTATATTACTGATATCATAAGAAGAAACTATCTTTCTTTGAAGGTCATTGTCAAAAGTTAATATTGTTATTCTGTACATTTATACAATTGATTGGTTAACCGATATTTATATTCATATTAAATATTTCATAAACGGAATAGCACCATATTGTCTAGTTCAAAATAACTATGAAACAGAGAATCATGCGTATTTACTAACTAAATCAGTTTCCATTATTGTACAGATAGTTTATAGATGGTATGAAGAAAGATAACTGTGTAAAATAGTTTTGATGATTACTTGTAGATAATGTTCCATCACAAAGTTCGTGAAATTCATATGGGCTTAATTCAATTTCAGGTGTCCAAAGTATTTAGACTGTATTGAAAGTAAGAAACTCTACTTTTCACATGGTGCTTGGTAACCGAATAAATTAGTTTGTTAGTGTTTGGGTTCCATAAAGTCTTGACACTTATAACTGTTTCATTTGGTTGTTAGACTTCTAAGAACCTGTACAAATGAGTTGTAAATTGATCCAACATTTTAAAAAAAAGATAAAATTGTGACGATAATCGAAAATGACAATTATACATATAATACCCTTGGAAATCTCTCGACATAATTCATTGTTAACTGATCAACGGTTTTAAATGTAGTCAACTTTTTTATTTGCAATACTGTAGATTGATAAACCTAAATGAAAAACAAAAAGTGTCAGATGCTTACTAGTTTCCACTAATTCTTCATCTGATATCAGTACATGGTAGAAAATTAGCTACACATTAAACAATGTTTTCAAACGCTTAGTTTATTCAGGAAAAATCTATTAGAAACTGAATATATCAAAACTGACTAGAATGGACTATATTTACATACTTTGAATTCAGTAAACAAATTGCATGTAATCAGACGATAGTTAACCTGTATATACAAGTCTTAAGGACAATAAAACAACAACAACAACAACAATTTAAGTATCTATAGTTGAACAAATATGTCATTGTCAATATTGTATAACAACATAGAAGTATTGTAAAAGATTATCATTACCTTTCTCTAATTGACATTTGTGGATAACTCTCTTCGCTGTTATCTTCTTTTTGAATAATAATATTATTATTTAATATGGTATTTTCGACTTGTTTATTATTTTGATGTAAATTAAATGAATAATTAACTGTTCTAGGTAGTTTCCCGGAAAATGATTTATTTTGAATTTTTATTTGATTACCCTCTGGTAAACCACTTTGTTCTAATGAATTTATGGGCCTAAATTCAAATTAATTGAAGAAAACATTTTGTTGGTGAATAAAATTTAAAATGAAATATGTTCAATGTTGATTCTACAAAGAAGATACCTGATTGGTTTGTAGTTAATCTATAACTTTAAATGTGATTAGTTATCATCAAATGACCTTCATATTAACCAATCATTTGTATGTATATGTATTGTGTAGACTGTTATAAGCAAATTTATGATAATGATATTTCAAAGCACAATTGTAATATAATGTCCAATAAAGGCTACTGAATATTACGGTAAAATTTGTATCTAAACCAGACAATTATCATAGTGACAAAATGCTTGTTGATACTTGTCATATGATGTGGCTTTTATAGTTGAATATGTCATGATAGGTATGCAGAGAAGTTACAAACAAAGAATATACATTACATCTAATTATAGTGAGTAGTTTAACTTAATTCATAAACTCTCATAAAAGTTATACATATTGTACAGTTTAGTTAATTTATAAGATGAACAAAAGCTATTTAAATGCACTGAAATTTAGTATGACATTCAGTCATTGTTAGACATAGTGTTCTCGAACTTCAAAACTGTGAATGAAAGATTATCTACTAATTGACGATATTTTAGTTTGTTTTGAAGTGCCTTTATCATATCTGGTCTTTTTCTTTACATAAATATATATATTGTGAATTATATTTAAGAGCAGTTTTCAACGTCTATCCAGTCACATACACCTAAATTTGTAACATGAAAATGTCTTCAAACAGAAATGTTTCACTACCCATATAATACGAATGGTTAACGTTACTCACTATTTTTTGATAGCTGAATGTCATTGGTAACAGAGACACTAGTCACATCACTAACCAAGAGTTTTTTGATGGATGGTTTCTAACAGTGGGATTGAGTACACGCGTTTCATACTGTTTGAGACTCATTAAGTTAATATACCTGAATCCCAGCATTAATGTTCATAACGAAATTCGCATCGACTAGCTCTTAATTCAAACGCTTAACGGAGTATCGACTGATCCATTGAGTCCATACATTTTCTAGATTGTACATCCGGAATCAGAGTCGTAAACAGGTTGCACATCCTAGACTGCACAAATAGCTACTATTCAAGTCTAGAAAAACTTGCGATTAAAGACGATTTTTAGGGCACCTTTGTTTAATGATGCTCGAATACCGAAAAGGACTAATCAGTAGGAGCTCGTGATACCGACAACAGGATAACACGAACACGCATAAACAGCTAGTTAATGGATCGGGAAATATGAACTCAGCGAAAAACAAAAAGATACATGTTTTATTCAACTTTAATAGAGGAGACAGGTGATATGAAAATATTGGAATCTTGTAAAGAATATTAAACACTACCTCTTTTCTAAAGAAATCTCATGTAGTCTACGTCTTGGTGGACTAACCTTGTGTGAATTCAAACACTAATTGGAAATATCCCGAAGTGTCATACAAAGCATGTGGCTGACTTACGAATGGTTCATAATTGTTCGCTCACTGGTGAATTCACTAAAGTTTGAATGTAGTAAAACTTCAAAACCATCTTGTTTGAATTAAAATATTATAAGATTAATAAATAACAATTTACACTCACTCTTACTTGACAGTCATACGTAGTGACGAAGCTAACATTGAATTTCTAAGAGAGATGTATACTCCCAGGTTGTTTCGACCTTTGTGGTTAAGAGGGTTTTGGAAATGTTGTCATATACACATGATACATATTTAGGTGATTCAAACCCAGATTTCAAAATTAAACAACTGTTTGCTAATGTGTGTCTTAAAACGTTATACCTCTTTTTTTGTGTTTTCGCTGAATAAGAAGTGATCCAGTTTTGATGTGTAGGATACTAAGAAATGAATTTGAATTTGATATATCCTCTCTCATGCTTCCAGGTAAATCAGGAAAACGTTTAGAATCTGACAAGTTCAGCTTGGTACACAGGAAGAAAATTTTTTACTTTTATTTTTAACTGACTTATTCAGTATAAGAATCGACGTTCCTAGCAGCTCACTAAAAAAAGACTAACACAAACTATCAGCCTTTTTTCCTCAGTAAATCATAGTTATTTTTATTAACCAATGAAATTCGCTAGATGAGATGACATTTCTTACATTCGATTAATCAAATAATAGTCTTGACACATAAAACCGAAGGAATGAAATTTCGTTATTATTATTATTATTATTATTATCCAATAATTTCTATTTTATTTACCTGCTGTTATTACCAGTATTATTATTAGTTATGATATGTTGCTTATTTCGTTCTTCTGAATTTCTATACAATAAATTTACAAGATGATTTATTTTAGATGATTTCCTTGCTGATATTTCTCTGTTTAATTCTGGTGTAAATGGTCCATAATTATCACTAGTATGGTTATGTTTACAACTATTACTACGATAGATATTCTTTGAATATTCATTTTTATCATAGTTATAAATGTTTTTGTCCGATGAATAAAGTTCATATTTATCATGATGTGGATCTAAACGGAATGATTTAGACGGATTTTTCAATCTGTTATTATGTGCTTCTTGTCTTTGATTTCTAGGGAACTCATTATTTGTCTTGATCATTGATCCCATATAATTTTCGCATCTACCATATTTATTGCTATAACAGTTATTTCGATTAATGAAGGACCTGTTATAGAAATCATTATAAGCATCTTTGGACTCATCTGTAGTCATGCTGAAATTAGTATAAAAATATTTCGATCTATTCAAACAAATTACAGAGGATGGATTTGGTTTGTTATGTCTATTCTCCATTTTTGTAAATATTTATCCAGAAAAATCAATAATTTGTATTATATTCTGGAGCCGTAAACACAAAGATAATCCTTCACATGCACATGCAATAGAAAAAAGTTTTGAAGATTTTAACAATTATTTTCAAGTTTACTCAATCAATTAATGATGAATTTTCGTTATATTTACCTGAAGAAAATTTCAATTATGATATATTGGCATAATGATAATAGTAACTTACTGATTAAACTGGCTTCCGGAGTTGATAATTGTGAATCATACTCATGGAAGCCAAATGAATCTTGTTCATCTCCTTTTACACTACCGAAAGGTGATTCTAAAATTAAAAAAGTTTAATTATTAAAAACGTTTACCTTAGCTAACAGTTTAGAAATAAATATGTCATGTAGGATTAAGAAAACTTGATATTTGCTTTAGGATTCAGTATGTATCATTGCATACTACTGTTGTGTAATAAGTAACATATGCGATTATTTAAAATTACTGAGTGTCTTGATTACGTAACAATCAAAAGTAGACAATTCTGCTCACTTTAAATTGGCAGTTTTCCGGATAATAAACTGGTATTACCAGTAGAGGTTTAAGGTGAGAACAAACTGCTTTTGAATATATAAAGAGAGTTTGAATTTTCGTTTGGCTAAAACTTCGATGAACCATGGTATGCGCTCTTTAAGACTTTTGTACAACACCACAAAAGTCAAATTAAAATCAATCTTATGATCTGTTTCAAGTATGTATTTGGCAATGGAGGAAGTAGGATGTTTATTATATGCTTTTATTGAGTCATTTGATTTTATTTATTTGAACTGATGACGATAAAAATTTAGTCTACTAGTATCCAGTGAATAGAAGCTTCTCGCTACTAAACTTTTAAAAGAACTATTAAAAATTCTCCTTAGCGTTTGTGATGAAAACGATAAAATGAGATCTTCTGTTCACAACGAACAAAGTAACCATTCCATATTATTTTAGTATGATAAAATGTAACTACTAATAAGTAGTTTCAAACGGATGATCAAAATATGCGTTGTAGGATATTAGTTGTTTCATCAGCCTTTGTAAATAGATTAAGGCCGTTTCTTAAACTCGGGATATGAGAACTTCGAGCAGCTATCAACAATTTTCTAAGTTTCAAAGTTTAAGTGTTTCGTTATCAAGTCTCAACTTAGAACATATAATTTTAGAGAGTGTTTTTATCTGATTATTCACAATACACAGAACTTTTTAGAATTTATTTATTCGTCAGAAGACACAATGTTGTAAAATAATGGATTCTGAGTAAAAGAAGCTTATCAGTTGAGATATTGACTTATCATGAAATCGGATTGACAATTTGAGTCAAATTTTCTATAAAAACTGGTATCATCAAGAAAATCTTTGAAAACAAGTAATCATTTATCAATGGTTTCATCGAAATTATTTCACACGTAGAAATGTACACAACAAAAGACTTGTCACCGTCAAAAGATTATGATAAACATGATAACTCTGATTCAAAAATAACATTGATATAAACATACTTCACAGATAATTATTCTTGATACAGAACAACACACAATATATTATATAATACAGAATTCACTTTCATAAATAGCGAATTCTTGATCATAAGGTCATTACACTCAGAGTATTTTATTTTAGTCATTAAGTGACATTGAATTCGTAGTTACTTTGTTTGAAGGTTGAATGCGTAACAATAACAAGGAATGTATGTACTTCTAACTGTTCAAGTTGGCTTACATATAAATAGAATTTTTTGTAAATTATCAATTGATGTAATATCATAAATTATTACATAAATCAAATATAACAAAGTATATAAATTGATGAAAGAGGTTTTAATTGGTGATAACATAATAATAATAATAATAATAATAATAATAATAATAATAATAATAATAATAATAATAATAATGATGATGATGATGATGATGATGATGATGATGATGATGATGATGATGATGATGATGATGATGATGATGATGATGATGATGATGATGATGATGATGATGATGATGATGATGATGATGATGATGATGATGATGATGATGATGATGATGATGATGATGATGATGATGATGATGATGATGATGATGATGATGATGATGATGATGATGATGATGATGATGATGATGATGATGATGATGATGATGATGATGATGATGATGATGATGATGATGATGATGATGATGATGATGATGATGATGATGATGATGATGTGGTGATTAATAAATTATGTATACTTTATTTTTATTATATAAATATAATTAAGAAATTTCGTGAAACTTTCGCTATTCACATGTGATATTAATACACAAGTTCTTTCACTTTCACACTTATTTACACCATTACTCTATGAAACCACGAAATCATGACTAATTTTCATCAATCATTAAAATACTGAAAATTATACCCAGAAAAGTTATAGATTTCCTAATCAAAATAACCTTTGATTATGGATCCTTATTTTATGGCTACTTGAATACATCAAGAAATAAATAAGGATTATAAATACATTAATATCATCACTTTTACTCGGAATGTGATTTAGTTATCAACTTATATAAAGTTTAGAAAAACGTTATGATTTTCTTGAATATATACGCACAACACTAAATATATCTAATCATATGCTTAATAAGCTCGTCCATTCATTTTCAGATGTTCAATAAGAGTACAAAACATGGATTTTCAGGTATTTTTCTTACTATTTTGTTTGTGAATAGTGCATATAATTGTGAAATTTTCACGGGAGATTTCATCTGAAGGCTCAATTTTCATGATATTTGTGTTGTTTTTCCAGCAAGTTAGGCTGCTCTATACTGAGATGTTTAAAGTGAATAGATTTGGATAGATTTAGATTTTTGGAAAACACTTACAGTGTAAATTATAGTCTTGTATCTAGAAATCACCTACTAAGTGAACTAAAAAATTACTTATTAAACAGTGTAAATTGGATGTATAACCTCCCGCTGATCACAGAAGTTTCTATAACTTCATTTAATTGAATTATATTTCGCTATAAACCTATTTTAAAGGTTCAAATTATCTTGACACTTAATATTTTGTGAATATTCAAGCAATTATCCCTACTTATTTTCTAGTCGGACATTTTACTAAGCTACTGAATTTTTCCTGGTATACCCATAACTGAGAATCATTAATAATAATCAAGAGTACATATTGCTTAAATTGATTTGACTGAACTAAAAAAAAATCCACATACAAGCGTAGATACTATTATAAAATTTATGAAAACTGTTGCTGAATGAAAAATAAATATAAAGGTTATCAACTAAAAACAGCTTGAATAAATGGTATAAATGAACCCAAGGAATATAGCGGTACAAAAACATAAATCAACTGACTCTGATTATTATTATCAGATAGCTGCTTGGATATTCCGATAATGTATATCATTTGAACTTATATTACAATTAAATTATTTGTTTCATATTAAACCAATTTGCAGATTTAATATATACTTGGAAAATTTAACATGAACAAATTTACTTCACAATTTCATCTGAAGCCAAAAAGAATAGTTGTTGATGTTAAATGCAGAAACTAGGTAACTCGCTTTCTAGAATGATTAAGCAATAGCTTGTTAAATATTGAAAAAACTCATCGATGGTGTTACAATGTATCCACCATTATAAATAATTTGATGTTGTATTCACAATGTTTAACTAATAGGTGGTTGAAAGCTATCATCACGAGGCCCTAGAACTAGGTCTCGTGTAATTTGGAGATTCTTAGCAAATAATATCTGTAATAATAAGGCAACTGATGGCTCACATTGGATCATCCATATTTTATTTAAATGTTTATGTACTATATTATTTTTGCTAGAGCACATACAATCATATTTTATGAAGAAATAATACTAGCAAAACCTGCCATTTGTTATTAGAAGTGCTAATATTAACTAATCTATGCATTAATTCAGTTATTTAATCAACTAAATAAATTTGTAGAAAACAATGGTATTAAACTAGTATGGAAATGACTTAGTAACTGCAAATCATCATGTTTTTTGGTTGTTTGAGTAGTTTGAGAAAATAATTAAAATGTCAAAATACACGAAATCATTGGTGTGATTAGTGCCATATACAGTTAGTTAAAGAAACGAATTGCCGCCAAAATAATACATTTTGAGAAAAAAACACTGAACAATACAAAGGAACAGATGACAATTACGTTATCCTTCTACCTTTTGAATTGTATAGACTAATATTTGACTGTTGTCAGATAAACTTATGTTCGGTATTTTTCCCGAACTGAAATCAGCGATAAATCTATTAGACGTCATCAAACTTAGATTTGGTTTCTTCAAACTAGCCATTCAAAATCATGTAGTACATATTTGTTCAACAGTGACTATCCTCAACTTTCTATGGTCGAAATAGAGCAAGACAATCGTTATGCGATCCTAGGTTTCCAATGATTTCTCTCATGGTAACTTCTGAGTGTTGAAAACCGTTAAAGGGAATTGTTGAGGGAGAAATCAAAGAGAAATGTAAAACTTATTGACGAAGGTTGAAAAACAGTTAATAAAGAAGTGAACTTGCTTAAACTACAAGTTCTTTAGAGTTAAGAATTTAAAGACTCATTCTTTATTCTATTTCAGCCATTTCATTAGATCATGTCAATGATCTAATCGCTATGTAAGTTCATACGGTTTAATTAATAATTGAAAACCAGACAATGCTTGGTACCTGTTTCACTGGAATCCTGAAGATTTCACCAGTGTGTATCTAAAGTCTTACACTAGAATGAACTTAAAATATTTATGTCCCTTAGATGTAATAATGTCACAAGACTAATTAGTTGATAGTCGACGGTTTGAATTTCCGACATCAGTTAATTCGTGACATAACACAAAATACGTTTGTTATTACAATATATTCTCTATAGCTAATATAGTATATATAGTTCATATGATATTATTAATATTTGCCAATTATAATTTTCTCTTTAATATATTTAATTTTGCTTATTGTATTGGCGCTAACTTGTTTTTCTAGTTTTGTTCAACTTATTTCAAACAGATTTTTAAGGCAATAATAAGATGAACATCATTTTATATCGTGGTGTTTAGAGTTGAAAAGTAAGACTTTAGGTTTACTATCTAGTGATCTAAAAGAAGTCCAAACTTAACAGTTCTTAGAGTCCAAATGAGTTGGTATGTATGTAATGTGTACAGTCCGGATACCTTGAATTAAAAAATGTGCTTAACCTTTTTGTTTTATATCAGAAGGGTTTTTTGGATATTATAGTAATTTCAATAGTTGAGATCATAAGTCAGTTGAAGCTAAACCACCATGGAAAACCTGAAAGCATTGGACGGCCGTTTCATCCGATTGTAGGACTCTTCAGCAGTTTTAATTGATTTCACTTTCTTATGATAATCAACTTAATCCCAAAACTGAAACCACGTAAATATATACAATAATATTAAAACATTAACAATAATTCATTATTTTAACAATCATATTGCTTACCTAAATGTTTACCATAATATCTTTCTAAAATAAGTTGATTTGCTTTCGCTAAATCATCCAATGTAATCGGTTGAGTTTTACGACGTATTACACGTTTTGGTTCAGATGCACCACTAAATGATTTATTCGTTAAACTTGATTGTCCTTGTTGAAATCGTTGATTAAATAAATTTCGTTTCTCATTCAAACTTAATCTGTAATAACAACCATAGTATTAATAAAAAAAACATTGTCGTCAACATTGTTTTCATTTTCAAATTGTGAAAATTGTGAAACAAACAAACAAACAAAAATCAATTTTCAATATGCATGATTAGCACACTTATATTTTATTTGATCATAAATAGTTTAAATCAGTGAAATTCTTTTACAATAAAATTAAGTCTCCATTCATGCTGGTGTGTTTGAATGTAAAGAGCATACAGTATTAACACGTTATTGGCGAGAGGATAGATGGATAGATAAACACACAAACCTATATACAACACTTTAACATGGTTATGAAATTTGATTAGATTAAAATGAGTAAAAATATTTTAAATCAAGTTTGAAACTGCAGTTGTTTATATAGACTAAATCGAATATGGTTAATAGTGTAATCCAAGACTCAGATTTCGTCCTATCTGGAATTCATCAGTCGAATGTACCTGTATCCTAAAGTTGATGTTCACCGTGAGACTCAAACCCAGTACTGTTTGCTTTGAACACTATCTCGTTATGCATTTAGTTACTGAGCCCGAATAATCGCTCACTTGTACAATGGGTATGAGATTTAATTCAGTTTGAACTGGTCTGTATTATCCCGTTATTGACATTTTCGAGATAAATTTGATCACTTTTGGTTGGTATATGAGCATCCTGTGAGAAGAAAACTCGCGTTCTGGATTTCACTGCTAACTATATTCCATTTAGTCTATATTAACTTGTGTCATAATCGCTACATCGTGGCAATCCTCACAGGACGCCCATATACCAACCGAGACTGATCAAATATTAACAACGAGATAATTTAAACCACTTCAAATTGTAATAGTTTACTTTATATACTGAATTAGATAAAAGTTATATTATGAAATGCGTTTACATGATTTAACTTTTGTGTTGTTTAATTTATAAAGGGAAAAGAGTTTCCTGTGATGACAGTAAACGGATTGGATCACTGAGAGACACATTTGTGCTCTATTCTACCATTTGATTCAAAATCAGATGGTCGAATCTAGATCAGTCAGTATGTCAGTATAATCCACGTTCGACTGTGGAGAAAAGCGTATAGACTCAACAGTTACAAACCTAGTGTTTTATATAAATTGAACTGTGATTTAAAAAGAGAAGAAATCGGTAAACTGTTTAATATATTGTTTAAATTAGTTTTCTTTACTTAGAACAGAGTTTCTTTAATAAAAATCAAGTCCATTTATTAACTTATAAGCACATATGAATGTTTAAAAATGAAAGAATAAGACCTAGTCACAATTGATTGATCACTGGGTGGTGATCAATATCATGCTTGTCTAGTCCTTATTAGTGCACATCGAATGCTATCGATCATGTTGCAATGTGGCATGTGGCAATGTTGACTACCTCCAACCACCATATAAAACCTAGTATTACAAAGAAATGTTTTCCACAATCATCTACTGAAGCTGTACAAATGTATTTATTAACTACTTAACAGATATAGTGGTCCATTGGCTAAAAATAGAAAACTATTTTCTAAGTACATGTTTGGAAATTTCAACTTCCATAATCTGATTGTATAATATTTAAAAAGGTTAAAGAAAAGTAATTAGATGAAATCAGTTTACAAATCAAAAGTATAAAACTTAATTTGTTATTAAGCAAAGATGGATAGTGGATGGCAGTGGGATCCAGGACGCGCGTTCCATCATTTTTGGGTCTCGTCAGCTGGATGTACATGCATCGAAGAGTTCACGTTCACTCCGTGACTCGAACCCAGTACCGTTCGCTTCAAATGACAAGTAGGATGAAACCCGTGTCCTGGACTCCACTGCTAACCACTATCCATCTTTGCTCATAAACTTAGTAACTTGAAGCAATATCGAGGCAATCCACACAGGATGAACATGTCCCAACAAGATACTGGTCAATTGCAGTCCTAAACAACAATATGATGACATAAGCAAACAATACCAAGTGAATTTAATTACTAACTAGTTAGAAAAATAGTAATATTGCTCATTAGTGCGAATGAGTAACCCCTTTTATCATGTGATACACATAATTTTATATAATGAATTCCTTGAAGTATTCACTTATATCTATACTGTAGCTTTTGTATTTGATTGTAAAGTAACAAACATTTACTCACTAGTATCAGTAAAATAAGCAATAATTAGATATTCCCATTGTGTTTTTTTCAACTCATTGTTATGATAAATAAAACAATTCACAGGCATTTTATTAGACAATGTTATTATTAGTATTATAATTAATGATACATTGTGGTTGTGAATGAATGAAGTAGAAATATGTCGAATTAATTTTGTCATAATTGTGTTCAATCAAAATTCTTTAGTTAATAATTGATCGTTAAAAAAGGGTATAGTTTCCAACATAAATAGTATCTCCTTAGTTAGAATTCATCTCTGTCATGAATTTTAATGAAACTGCATCAACTTATTCAAATCGGATGATCGCAGATGAATATTTCAATCACAAAAAATGGATATACAGTCGGAAACTGCTATGGATTTTTTTTTCATATGGTTAATTAATTCAAATTTATGGTTTATTATAGATTATGGTTTTATATGGTGAATTTAATAATCCCTATTTTAGGTGGTTGCAAAATATTCGATCGATTTGAATGAATGTATAATACACAGGTAACGAATAAATCAGGTCATTCAGATGTAATACAACTGCACGATTTTAATTTATCGGAAATATCCGGAAAATTTGTATAGTGAGTAAAATTCTACGACATGATTCCTCGTAGTTTCACTACAGCAGTTAGTAGATTTAGTCATACACCTGATTTTCCGTTTTGATATCAGATGTGGGCTATGGATTTCCTTTATTAGAAAATTCTCCTTCAATTTGCCATCAATGACATTCGAAAATCCATATTGAATCAGTGACCCTATCATGCTATTATCCAAAACTATTAATTTAATGCAAGTACTACACAATTAATGTAACACACATAGATAGAGATTTGGTTTATGTAGAGTCACTAACTGGTAGCTGGGTTTATTTATAAACGATTGAACTCATTTTCTACACAAACGATACATAAAGTATTGCAAACTGACATCACATGGTGTTCTACTAGGAAGTGTTAAAATAGTACCGTCCAAGAATCAAGTTCCTTTATCTTAGAATACCTAAGATATATTCGAAAGTTAATTTTTGAATACTGAAGAAATCAAATTTTACTTCAACCTAAAATAAATAAAAACTTTTGTATATGAGCCCAATAGAACAACATGATGTTAAACTGTTAATTGAAGCTGTCTACTAACAAATGATGATAATAATTAATATGAAGCTGATTAATTATGTATTTACTTCATAAGAATAACAAGAACCTATTCAAATAGATGATCATTTTTCTGGATAACTTATTGAAAATCTCGAATAATTTCCTCGAAATTGGATCAGCTGAAAGCAAATAAAAAATAAAAACACAAATGCAGAGCTGTTGAGAACTTATTGCGATATCATATTTAGCAAATTTAAGGTTTGCAGCTAATTCAAGATGTGTGCTTTTTACATATTACTATTGTGGTGTGGCCTACTTATATCCATATAAGTAGTATGTAACAGTGGCAAGGCATAGTATGTATTTCAGTAGAAGATCGATAAGGAAAGAACGGAAACAGAATGCAGTTGGTGTGAAAACGCATGAACAATGCAATCCAAGACAATCGACTGATATTTGCAAAGGAACAGTGAAGTTTGAGACGATGGATTGATATTCTGCAAATTAAGTATTTACTGTATGGTTCTCAGATTTTAGTGAGATGCTCTGTAATTTTGTAATCAAATACATTAGATTGTCCCCGCTGGTGTTCTGTTCACTGCAGTATATGTTAGTTGTGATGTGACTTCTCACTAGTGCTGATGTTTACGGTGTATAGTATCTATTAATATTTGTCAGGACTCTCGTTATTACCTCATTTTATCAGTCGCTTTTGACACTTGGCTACATTGGCGGTAGATAAAACACTAATATATTGAGTTGATGAGTCCTTAATACTCGGATACGTCCGTCTTAGATTTTTTTTCTAGCTAATATTTAAAATATAACTGATTTGTAGTTTCGGTTGATGTGGAGTCCTCATATCCCAAAAGAGACTGATAAAGTACAGTCCTAAAATTCAGCTACATAAAATTACAACTCTTTAAAAATAACAATAGCAGCACTTATTTTAAGAGTGACAAAGATTCTGTTTGCCACTGTTTATTTTATTTAATTATTCATTGAGTTGTTTTTTAATGTCGAGCTATGTAGCTCACTGGTAAGAATTTTTAAGTGAACAGCAACATTAAACTTTTCACAACTCAGTGAAGTACTATACATCGATTAGTACACTCATGTAAGGCTGAATCTACTTATATTAAAATAATTGCCAAGTTTTTATAATATAGCCTTTGTTTTTCTAATTAATTGAACTCTAGCTCAGACACTAAATTACAGTCAAGATTGAAGTATATTCTTCAAGAAGTCATGATCCATGTAGAAAAATAGTTTCATAAAACTATGGAAAAATGAAGGATAACTCACAAAACAATTGAATAAACTGTTTCTCATATTATGATTATTGTTTAGGTGAATTACATTCACCTTTGAATTATTAGATCAGATATAAATTTCATAAGTAAGAATCTATTCATTATTTAAGACTTAGATATAATTTTTATAGAAGATTTTCTAGTTTATTCTTTAAAGTAAATTACTAATATATAGATTCTAGCAGAATAGCATGAACTCCTTTTATTTCGTAGGTTCTCGTCAGCTGATTACAACGTGTGATATTTAAAATCATAATTAAATAATGGATTTAAGTTACTTGCATGAGACGGTTTGGTTGGAAGTTATACTGAAGACATATTAGTATAGTATAGTAACGGTTTAAAAGTATGTTGAATAGACTGAATATTGTAAATATATATCTTATGTAAAATAACATTCTACAATATATAATGTGACAACAGTTCAATGGGCCAGAAACAAGTGATTATATAATGAGTAAACATTGATAAGAATAAAATGAATAGAACACAGTTGATAAAATAAGATTATTAATTTGGAAGATAGTTGAAATAAAACTCAATAATGTAATAAATACAAGGAAGAGTAAAAAGAAAAGAAATTTTTTTAATGCAGCA